TTATCCCGGACGCCGCTATCCGGGTACACAGATCCCAGAGGAACAAACACTGCCTATGTCAAGGTTGAGTGAGTGAGTGAGTTGGGTTTAACGCCGCTTTTATTAGTATTCCAGTTATATCACGGCGTGTCAGCTTAATGTGGGAGGAAAGCCCGAAGTGATGCAGGTCTCAGACGTTTACCACTTCGGTGAAACCCACGAGCACGGGTATGGTGCTGACAAACCTAGAAACATAATCGGGGCGAACCGGGATTCGAACCCACAATCATAGGTTTCTGGCGTGCCCAAGGGACGCAATTCTGCACAGCGAATCGCGGCGCCTCAGACGACTGGGCCACCCGTGCCATGTGTTCTGTGCGAGTGACCTTTTCTTTTTCTTTCTGCATTCTTACCCACGGTGGTACAAAAGCGTATTTCACAAACAACTATATGTTCAACAAAAGTAATAATTCAGACAGGAAGGGTATATGTAAGTATTATTTCTGAAGTATACTGAACAACAAAAGTTCCTGTGACATTGAATAAGATTTAATGCAAAGTTATGTTTTTTACCAAATCTGAAACAATTTCGGTTTGCAACAGATAAAGACTCCTGTAAGTGTTCAAATGGCTTAAATTGCCATACTGACTTCAGAAAATGCTTGATTTCATTAAAAAAAAACATGGACATGCCAAAATGTCAATTCACAAATCAATAGCGTGTGTGTCCACCTCTGGTTGCGATGCAAGCAACACATCTTCGTCTCATGGAATGGACCAGGCGTCAATCAAAGCCCTGTGGGATATCTGTCAATATCTGCTGGAGCATGTTTCGAAGTTCCTGGAGTGTCTGTGGAACACGTGGTTGACGTCGAAGGTGCCAATCCATCTCATCCCACATGTGCTCGATTGGTGAGAGATCAGGGGAGCGAGCCGTCCAGGGGATGACATTCACGTTGTTTTATTGAAGAGAATCCTGAACAAGTCGAGCAATATGAGGCCGGGCGTTGTCAGGTTGAAAGGTAATGCCTGGGCCATGACGACGAAAAAACGGTAGAACAACAGGGCCGGTGATCTCGTCGCGGTAGTTTCAGATTTCCCTCTACCTGTACATTCAGATTTCCCACTACCACTATCAAATTCTTGGGTAGTGAAATGCATGGGGCTTGCATAAAAGTCAACTTTTGCATGGAATGCATGCTTTTCTGTAGCAGTTGCGTTTTTGTGACTTGACTCCATACATGTACTACAACATTGAAATCCAAACTTTACTTGTTTGAAAAATACACTAAATTATTGGTACCACAGGGACTTTTGTTGTTAAGTATATTTGTAGACATTGAAAATAAACTTTGACAAAATCTTAATTTCTACTATTTTCGTTGTACAAAGTGGTTGTTTGAGGTTATAAAGATTAGGCCATAAATATAAACATTCTGGTTTATACTCTCGTGTCTACTTCTGATTCTATCAAGCTTTAAATGAATAGTAGAGCTCGTCAGCAATAGCTGGCGAGTTACAAAGGGTACAGGTTCTTTCTGCTCTGGGTATACCAAACCAGCGGCCAGTCTCTACAGGTACATTATAGGTACAGATTCCAAAAGTTAGAAGCCAGAAAGATCTTGTTCTTGGGAGGAGGAGGTATGTTTCACGGATGGGACAGATTAAAATAATTAATAGTAAGTTCCTTTTGAACTATTGCACATTGTACTCCACGGTGATAGTGTGAATTGATCTCTTAACGTTAACGTTACCTTAGAGACCACACATCCACGTGTGTAGGTTAATACGTTTCAGGCATGGACGGCTTCACTGGGGGACGAAAGACGTTGTTATACATAGTAATACTAAATGTCATGTTTACATCCAACTTCTAAAGACTCTGAATATCAGTATTTGTTGTATACTAGAGATTGGACAGTTTTAGTTTTAGAGTTTCTGCCTTACTATTATTGTCCCACAGAGAATGGCCAGTCAACCGTGCCTTTACAGCAGAGACTAGCCAAGGACATGGCTGTTTCAGTGCTTCACCTCCTCGCCGATACTGCAGAAGACGACAGCCTAGGACATTGATGTTTCAGTGTGCTTCATGCGCGCACCGACTACTGCAGAAGAAGGTAGCCTAGGACATTGATGTTTCAGTGTGCTTCATCCACTCACCGACTACTGCAGAAGAAGGTAGCCTAGGACATTGATGTTTCAGTGTGCTTCATCCACTCACCGACTACTGCAGAAGAAGGTAGCCTAGGACATTGATGTTTCAGTGCTTCACCTCCTCGCCGATACTGCAGAAGACGATAGCCTAGTACATTGATGTTTCAGTGCTTCACCTCCTCGCCGATACTGCAGAAGATAGCCCATAACATTGATGTGTCAGTGTGCTTCATCCACTCACCGACTACTGCAGAAGACGATAGCCTAGGACATTGATGTTTCAGTGCTTCGCCCTCTCGCCGATACTGCAGCAGAATAACCCAGGGCGTTGATGTGTCAGTGTGCTAACAAGGAAACTTACGTTATCTTATCTTGTTCGGCAGTTGTCCGTAAACGAGTACAGCTTTGCTCTCAGTAGCGCGAGAATGTAGTAGAGAATGCTCAAGTCTAGGAGAAAAGACTCTCAAACCAAAACTGTATGAATTGATTGAAAGGCATCACTTAGAAGTTGACGGATGTAAATGCGACTTTTCGTTTCTTGCTTTACAACGGTATAAGGGTCTATACAGAAACGTCACCTTAACAGTAAATAGAGAAGTTGTTATCCATAATTTGTGTGTACTTTATACAAGTGTATGGTTGTGGCGTAGAGTATTAATTCTCTACATATGTATTATTCAGGCTTCAGGCGAGACTGTCTGGGTTACCGATACTTGAAGATGGCAATACTGTTAACTCCGTAGAAGTAGACAAGTCAGTTGACGGAAACACTCACGATCCGTCACGGTTTGGTGCCCTCATGTTTTATGTAAACATTTCAGTCCTGTTTTATGTTTGCTTTGTATTGTTTCTTTACAGACAAATGTGGCAAGATTATTAATGATGAATGAATGGTGTGATTAACATCCCACCTTGTCCTATTGTTCCGCCTTTGTTGTTGTGTACAGGATAAAACACGCTCCAGAGTGTTTGTCTGAAGTGACAAACACGACCCCGAGTGTTTACAGTTATAAACAAACAAGAGGAAAAGTGTTTTATCGATCTTATAAACCGAACGAAAAATCAGACACAACATTTATGAACAATTGTATGTTTCCAACACACTTTCATGAACCTTACGGAAACGAATGTTATCATTCGTCACCACTCGCCCCTTTCCGTAACCTGCAAGAAGACTCGTTCCCCTATCGATGACTGTTTGTGCGAAAATACGACAAACCAATCAGAATGAGCGTATGAGTTCGAGTTCTTTGTCAAATAATCCCTCATAAATAATTTTGGATTTCACATATATCTTGCATCTAAAAATATACCCAAGACACAGTTACATGCGTTCAATCATACTGTATAATTCCGCACGTCCTTGTGCTTTAAATTGCATCTGAATTATATATAAGATATGGGGAAATATATGTGAACCATTACGCAACGAGTTGACAATTGTTTTAGGTATGCCCGTTTGCGCTAAGACGGAACCCAGTCGCAATAATGGCCATGAGAGGGGCACGAGTCGCTATTCGGCTTGTCCCGGAATAACACGAGTTAGTCACGAATGGGATGTAATATGTCTCTTGATGGAGTACATGTACTTGAAACAAGCGATTCTTGAAGGCATCGCGGTTTATCAGCGTCCGGCTTCAAATACAAAGGTCGCATGGTCGGTCCCACTCAAATATATAAGCAACATTTGTTGTCTGTTTGGACATTAAGTCAGCATTGTAGTGTGTGTGATGTAGACTGTGTTCAACAGCAAAACAAATCTCTAATGAGGGACATATCCTATAGAATATCCCTGGGTCAGAGAGGTATGCTGTAGAAGGTCCTTACTGAAAGGTTATTCTACGAAAGGAAGTCTGCGATTGGATGACGTCACTAGACGTTTATAAGTGTTCGAATCCTACTATGATTCGAGTGTGATGCTTGGTCCCTCAGCGCAATGCCGTGTTCATGTGTTTCGTCAATAAAAACCAGAGTACCAGGGGCACGGGTAATCACCTGTAGGCAGTATATTAAAATCATACACCCAAAATCTTGGATACAACATTGTAATAACATTCTGTAATACATTCGTTTAATGATCTTGTATTATGTGACTTGTGTCTTGAAATAGTGACTACAAACCTATATCCCCTGCCACCATGTCATATTTCCCCCATACATAGATTAATACAATATCTAACCACCTTACTTGTAATAACCATACAATATGACAGTTTAATGCTTCCAAATACATGGCATGAGTCTTAGAGATATACAATATTTCAACGATTATCTTCAGTGAGATATGTCCCGCATCAAATCTGTTTCATTAATGTTTTTACAGGATGATGACACATACGTATTTTGATAACTGCATTAATCTAAACATGATCTACAACAGGTGAGGTGAAATGGGGTTTAACGTCGCGTTAACGGCGGTCTGATCTACAACATGTATTGTTTATCGAGTGATGCTAGATGATGACAATAATTCAACAAACTGAGCGTTTCTGTTTATCACGTTATGAGTGAGTGAGTGAGTGAGTATAGTTTTACGCTGTTTTTAGCAATATTCCAGCAATATCAGGGCGGAGGACACCAGAAATGGACTTCACACATTGTACCCATGTCAGGAATCGAACCCGGGTCTTCGGCGTGACGAGCTAACGCTTTCACCATTAGGCTACCCGACCGCCCCCTGTCACGTTATGAGATTCACCAAGATGAATGTGGTATGCACGGTATGCTGTAAAATATTCTAGCAACGAAAATACCTTTCCAACATAACGTGTGTTGTAATTGCAGGAACACAGCCAGTGAGTGGGTTCCACATTTGATAGAATATGTACACTGGTGAACATCCTGCTGTTTTCTCGAAACACAGTTCACTACAGTTTCTTCTTGATAAGTTCAATGTGATGCAGCAAGGGGTTGTGGGGAGGATGTGATGCTGCAAGGGGTTGTGGGGAGGATGTGATGCAGCAAGGGGTTGTAGGGAGGATGTGATGCTGCAAGGGGTTGTGGGAGGATGCGATGCAGCAAGGGCCTGTAGGGAGGATGTGATGCTGCAAGGTGGGGAGGATGTGATGCTGCAAGGGGTTGTGGGGAAGGATGTGATGCAGCAAGGGGTTGTGGGGAGGATGTGATGCAGCAAGGGGATGTAGGGAGGATGTGATGCTGCAAGGTGGGGAGGATGTGATGCTGCAAGGTGGGGAGGATGTGATGCTGCAAGGGGTTGTAGGGAGGATGTGATGCTGCAAGGGGTTGTGGGAGGATGCGATGCAGCAAGGGGCTGTAGGGAGGATGTGATGCTGCAAGGTGGGGAGGATGTGATGCTGCAAGGGGTTGTGGGGAAGGATGTGATGCAGCAAGGGGTTGAGGGGAGGATGTGATGCAGCAGGGGGTTGTAGGGAGGATGTGATGCAGCAAGGTGGGGAGGATGTGATGCTGCAATGTGGGGAGGATGTGATGCTGCAAGGTGGGGAGGATGTGATGCAGCAAGGGGTTGTAGGGGGGATGTGATGCAGCAAGGGGTTGTGGGGAGGATGTGATGCAGCAAGGGGTTGTAGGGAGGATGTGATGCAGCAAGGGGTTGTGGGGAGGTTGTGATGCAGCAAGGGGTTTTTGGGAAGGATGTGATGCTGCAAGGGGTTGTGGGGAAGGATGTGATGCAGCAAGGGGTTGTGGGGAAGGATGTGATGCAGCAAGGGGTTGTGGGGAAGGATGTGATGCTGCAAGGGGTTGTGGGGAAGGATGTGATGCAGCAAGGGGTTGTGGGGAAGGATGTGATGCAGCAAGGGGTTGTGGGGAGGATGTGATGCAGCAAGGGGATGTAGGGAGGATGTGATGCTGCAAGGTGGGGAGGATGTGATGCTGCAAGGTGGGGAGGATGTGATGCTGCAAGGTGGGGAGGATGTGATGCAGCAAGGGGTTGTAGGGGGGATGTGATGCAGCAAGGGGTTGTGGGGAGGATGTGATGCAGCAAGGGGTTGTAGGGAGGATGTGATGCAGCAAGGGGTTGTGGGGAGGTTGTGATGCAGCAAGGGGTTTTTGGGAAGGATGTGATGCTGCAAGGGGTTGTGGGGAAGGATGTGATGCAGCAAGGGGTTGTGGGGAAGGATGTGATGCAGCAAGGGGTTGTGGGGAAGGATGTGATGCTGCAAGGGGTTGTGGGGAAGGATGTGATGCAGCAAGGGGTTGTGGGGAAGGATGTGATGCAGCAAGGGGTTGTGGGGAGGATGTGATGCAGCAAGGGGATGTAGGGAGGATGTGATGCTGCAAGGTGGGGAGGATGTGATGCTGCAAGGTGGGGAGGATGTGATGCTGCAAGGTGGGGAGGATGTGATGCAGCAAGGGGTTGTAGGGGGGATGTGATGCAGCAAGGGGTTGTGGGGAGGATGTGATGCAGCAAGGGGTTGTAGGGAGGATGTGATGCAGCAAGGGGTTGTGGGGAGGTTGTGATGCAGCAAGGGGTTTTTGGGAAGGATGTGATGCTGCAAGGGGTTGTGGGGAAGGATGTGATGCAGCAAGGGGTTGTGGGGAAGGATGTGATGCAGCAAGGGGTTGTGGGGAAGGATGTGATGCTGCAAGGGGTTATGGGGAAGGATGTGATGCAGCAAGGGGTTGTGGGGAAGGATGTGATGCAGCAAGGGGTTGTGGGGAGGATGTGATGCAGCAAGGGGTTGTGGGGAGGATGTGATGCAGCAAGGGGTTGTGGGGAGGATGGGATGCAGCAAGGGGCTGTAGGGAGGATGTGATGCTGCAAGGGGTTGTGGGGAGGATGTGATGCAGCAAGGGGTTGTGGGAAGGATGTGATGCAGCAAGGGGTTGTGGGGAGGATGTGATGCAGCAAGGGGCTGTAGGGAGGATGTGATGCTGCAAGGTGGGGAGGATGTGATGCTGCAAGGTGGGGAGGATGTGATGCTGCAAGGGGTTGTGGGGAAGGATGTGATGCAGCAAGGGGTTGTGGGGAGGATGTGATGCAGCAAGGGGCTGTAGGGAGGATGTGATGCTGCAAGGTGGGGAGGATGTGACGCTGCAAGGTGGGGAGGATGTGATGCTGCAAGGGGTTGTGGGGAAGGATGTGATGCAGCAAGGGGTTGTGGGGAGGATGTGATGCAGCAAGGGGTTGTTGGGGGGGGATGTGATGAAGCAAGGGGTTGTGGGGGAGGATGTGATGCTGCAAGGGGTTTTGGGGAAGGATGTGATGCTGCAAGGGATTGTGGGGAAGGATGTGATAATGCAAGGGGTTGTGGGGAAGGATGTGATGCAGCAAGGGGTTGTGGGGAGAATGTGATGCTGCAAGGGGTTGTGGGGAGGATGTGATGCTGCAAGGGGTTGTGGGGAAGGATGTGATGCAGCAAGGGGTTGTGGGGAGAATGTGATGCTGCAAGGGGTTGTGGGGAGGATGTGATGCTGCAAGGGGTTGTGGGGAAGGATGTGATGCAGCAAGGGGTTGTGGGGAGAATGTGATGCTGCAAGGGGTTGTGGGGAGGATGTGATGCTGCAAGGGGTTGTGGGGAGGATGTGATGCTGCAAGGGGGTTGTGGGGAGGATGTGATGCTGCAAGGGGTTGTGGAGAAGGATTTGATGCTGCAAGGGGTTGTTGGGGGGGGGGGGGGGATGTGATGCTGCAAGGGGGTTGTGGGGAGGATGTGATGCTGCAAGGGGTTGTGGAGAAGGATTTGATGCTGCAAGGGGTTGTTGGGGGGGGGGGGGTGATGCTGCAAGGGGGGGGGGGAAGGATGTGATGCAGCAAGGGGTTGTGGGGAAGGATGTGATGCTGCAAGGGGCTGTGGGACGACGGATGCTGCAAGGGGTTATGGGGGAGGATGTGATGCTGCAAGGGGCTGTGGGGAAGGATGTGATGCAGCAAGGGGTTGTGGGAAGGATGTGATGGTGCAAGGGGTTGTGGGGATGATGTGATGCTGCAAAGGGTTGTGGGGAAGGATGTGATGCAGCAAGGGGTTGTTGGGGGGGAAGTGATGCAGCAAGGGGTTGTGGGAAGGATGTGATGCAGCAAGGGGTTGTGGGGAGGATGTGATGCTGCAAGGGGCTGTGGGAATGATGTGATGTTGCAAGGGGTTATGGGGGAGGATGTGATGCAGCAAGGGGTTATGGGGAAGGATGTGATGCAGCAAGGGGCTGTAGGGAGGATGTGATGCTGCAAGGGGATGTGGGAAGGATGTGATGCTGCAAGGGGTTGTGGGGAGGATGTGATGCTGCAAGGTGGGGAGGATGTGATGCAGCAAGGGGTTGTTGGGAAGGATGTGATGCAGCAAGGGGCTGTGGGGGATGTGATGCAGCAAGGGGTTGTTGGGGAGGATGTGATACAGCAAGGGGTTGTGGGGAGGATGTGATGCAGCAAGGGGGTTGTGGGGAGGATGTGATGCTGCAAGGGGTTTTTGGGAAGGATGTGATGCTGCAAGGGGTTGTGGGGAAGGATGTGATGAAGCAAGGGGCTGTGGGGAGGATGTGATGCTGCAAGGGGTTGTGGGGAGGATGTGATGCAGCAAGGGGCTGTGGGGGATGTGATGCAGCAAGGGGTTGTTGGGGAGGATGTGATACAGCAAGGGGTTGTGGGGAGGATGTGATGCAGCAAGGGGGTTGTGGGGAGGATGTGATGCAGCAAGGGGGTTGTGGGGAGGATGTGATGCTGCAAGGGGTTTTTGGGAAGGATGTGATGCTGCAAGGGGTTGTGGGGAACGATGTGATGCAGCAAGGGGTTGTGGGGAAGGATGTGATGCTGCAAGGGGTTGTGGGGGAGGATGTGATGCTGCAAGGGGGATGTATGTGGGTGGATGTAGTTTAACCCCGCACTCAGCAGTATTCTAGCTGTATGACGGCGGTATGGTAATAACTGAGTCTGCACCAGACAATCCTGTCATTGACACCATGAGCATCGATCTACGCCATTGGAATACAATGATATGCATCAACTGAAGACCAATTCTAAACCAGATCTTCGAGGGAGTAGTACACATCTGCCACTCCTGTATATAAGAATTTAATGATTTATCCCTTGGCCATGAGGTCACACTTATTGATTTTATGGCATCAGATATATGAAATATTCGCATAAAGCAAACTGTTCCCAGCGCATTGACGAACGATATAGAGGATCTTTTAAGCAGTCATGTTTGCTACTGCAGCCATCGATCATTGAAAATCATCAAAAGGTTGCTTAATATGAAAGCTTCCATTATGTCCACATAGTTAACTTTTCACATTTTTTAAAAACCGTATTTATGAGGATTGATTACCTGTTCTGGTGACCTCAACGAAGCCTGTTCAACTAGCGACATCATCAAGGAGGCCAGAGACCTCGTCAAGGAGGACGCGTATTCCTAGTTAGGCGACTCTAGGTGGCAAGTGTCGGGTCGTGAGCCGATACGTACAGAGAGCATATAATAAATATACTCACTCCAGGCACCCTAGTTCTGACTGATGCCAGGGCAGTTTCTTTATTGAATTCAAATAAGAACAATGCTACATAATGAAGAAGGATCTAATGAACATCCTACAAACAATAAAAAACAATATGTAGACACGTATGTGATCGAAATATAATGACATGTTCAGCAAATATGAGGAAGTTCAGTGCTAACGGGTGGATGGCATCATTTTCCCTTCAAAGTGTAAAATCAAAATACAGAGTATTGTATAAATCTTACACTAGTATATTTTATGTCCGCTTCAACTGCTGTCAGTGGCGATACTTTATCATGTTAAATGGAAAACGTCAATGTGATTACTGTCCCGAGTGGATTATACAAACCAATAAACTAGTGTTCACATCCACACACAACTCGGTGTACAGGCAATCTACAGGTTGTTCGCGGTGTGACAAAATGAAACGAGCTGTTGGTGTTTTGTCTGAGACAAGTATGGTAGAATAATTAGACCTTTTTTCTATTTTACGAATCCAAATACTGAAAAAGATCGCAGGTAAGTCGAAAGGAAAATACAACTGCTTTCAACGGGACTTTATTGGATTTGTCGGCAGCTGGTATCACTGGTTCTAGCCCTCTAAAGAATGCTGGATAACGTGAAATGGAGCTGGTCATTTCTGTATTGATTGTATTCAATTATTGACAAATGCATTCACGATAGGGTTTCATTCAATATTTGAGTAGATACCAATTTGTTCAGATTGTTTATTATCAATACGATATTTACTTTCAGCGGAGCATAAAATTTGCAATACAGATGTTGTTAATTTTCCCCGATTTTAAAGGTCTGCGGATCCGAAAACAAAGCAGGAACAAACATGGAAGGGCCCAGACAGATGAGTGAGTTGGGTTTAACGCCGCTTTTAACAGTATAACAGTTATACCGCGGCGTGTCAGCTTCATGTGGGAGGAAAGCCCGAAGTGATGCAGGTCTGAGACGTTTACCACCTCGGTGAAAACCACGAGCACCGGTATGGTGCTGACAAACCTAGAAACATAATAGGGGCGAACCGTGCTTCGAAACCACAATCATAGGTTTCTGGTGTACCCAAGGGACGCAACTCTGCACAGCGAAAAGCATACTAAGTTCATCCCAGAGATGCCATTTAACTATCTGCATATGATATTTATGACGGAGAAAGAGGTATTAAACCGGAGATAAAGATTTGATTTTAATTAGAACGAATTGTCATCTTCTTTGTCAGTATGTATAACTGAGGGTGAAAGTAAGTCTACTTGCCATCCTCCTAATGATGGAGCTTATAAATGATTTCACTTGCTGCTCCGGGCGGTCGGGCAGCCTAATGGTTAAGGTTCGCTCGTCATGCCGAAGACCCGGTTCCGATTCCCACATTGTGTGAATCTCATTTCTGGATTCGCCCTCCGTGATATTGCTGGAATATTGCAAGCCCATATTCACTAACTTACTGTTGCTACTCTGAGTCAGTGTGAGTGAGGGTGTGAATGTTCCACTTCCATGTTGCAGTCTTATATGTTCCAGTCCAGCCAGGGGCGGTCGGGTAGCCTAGTGGTTAAAGCGGGGTTCGAATCCCGACATGGGTACAATGTGTGAAGCCCATTTCTGGTGTCCCCCGCCGTGATATCGCTGGAATAATGCTAAAAGCGGCGTAAAACCTAACTCACTCACTCACTCACTCCAGTCCAGACACGAGGGGTGGCAGAAAGTTTACGAGCCTAACTGCGAGGGACGTTTAGTGCACCCTTAACAGTTTGCTGTTATTAAGCACAATACTTTCCATTCTTAGGGATCGACCATTTGATATTCTGGGCATGGGGCCTTGGATTTTGTATTGAGATAACAAAACATTTTAGCTTCAGCTGCAAAGCAAGATTGTCCTTTAAATAAAACTATGAGCCTGAATTATTTTTAAGAAAAACACCTTGCAACAATGTAATTCTAGTGGCAGGCAATGTCTTATTTTTTCAAAGGTCTGAAATATATACTAGCCACATTAAGAAACTGTGCACGGAAAAAATATAGATATAAGGGCACACCGTCCATATATGAAATATAGGTTTGAACACAGCAATTATTGGAGACATTCAAAATTCGCTGTCACTTTGGAAAGCATGAGGCGTTATCAGAACACAAATGACGTTGCCGACCACCCACGTTCAGGACGTCCCCGAGTAACGACGCTAAGACAGGACAGATGGATTCGAGTTACACATCTCCGACACAGGTTCCAAACGGCAGTAACGACGCCCCAGACAATTCCTGGACTGCGCCGTATCCATCCCAACACTGTCAGGAATCGTTTACGTCAGTACGGGATTCGACCACGACGCCCTGCCATACGTCCCATCCTGACACACCGTCATCGAGTCAACCGTCTAAGATGGTGTCGAAATCATGTTCGCCAACCTCGAATATGGTGGAGGAATGTTGTCTTTACAGATGAATCGAGGTTCAACATTTCCCACAGTGACGGGCGCCAATGTGTCTACCGGCGTTTGGGAGAACGTTATGCACGCAACTGTATTGTGGAGAGGAATCGTTTTGGAGGTGGCTCTGTGATGATTTGGGCACGGCACGGCACCGAACCCCTTTGGTGGTTGTTCAGGGCAATCTCACCGGTGTTGGCTACAGAGATCAGATTCTGAGGCCTGTGGTCATTCCTTTCCTGCAACGTCATGGCCCGGGATTGACATTTCAACAGGACAACGCTCGTCCTTTACACGGCTAGGGTCGCAATGGATTTCCTTCACCATAACAATGTCATGTTACTGCTATTGCCTGCAGTTTCTCCAGATCTCTTCCCAATAGAGCATGTGCGGGATGAAATGGAGCGCCGTCTGTGTCGTCTTCCACATCCTCCAGATAACGTCCGTGACTTGGCACAGGATTTGAGGAGGATATGGCAGGACATTACCCAGGCCTTCCATGCCCATTTGGTGGACTCCATGCGTCGCCGATGCACTGCTGTGATTCACGCACAGGGTGGTCATACCCGTTATTGACTTTGTGACTTTGTCGTATGACCCCCTACTCCGTTTTGATCTTCTGACGTCATCGTAACAGATGTTGTTCAGGTCCCGTTGACATTTTCTTATGGTCCGATCAGTCAGCTGCTACAGCGTCTGCATCATTTTGTTCTTGCTGTGTTGTATTTCAATCCAGAATATATTTTCTCCGTGCACAGTTTCTTTATGTGGCTAGTATATTAATTTTTGTCAAGAATTTTCAGGGACAGTTTATTTCTTCCAATGAAATCCCCAGAATATCAAGTGGTAGTCTGCATATGAACTAAATACACAACCAGGTACAATATTCCTGCAGGCATAAAAGTGACTAGGTTTTCTCTGTTGTTGAAAATGAACGAAATTGGCTGCCGCGCTGTCATCATCTGAAAAGATGAACAGTCATCCAAGCGGACAGTGTCAACTTTAGGGGATGGTGCTTGTTCCTTCGTTTCTGTCGAGAGGTATGCAGCGGAGTTCAAGAGAAGAGAGAGCTTCTAAGATGATCCAAGATGAGGAAGTCCTTCAACTGCTCCGACTAAGGAAAGGGTTGATAAAATACATGACACTATAGTCGATGACTCAACACACGTCACAGAGCCAATACAGTAGATATCTCTCGTGATCGAGTTACGAACATTCTGAAAAATGAGCCCGGCACGACTAATGTTTCGGAAAGCTGGGCTCCAAGGCTTCGGATTTCTGATCAGAAACGGTCCAGGTTCTCTCGAGAAAATGTACATAGTTTTAAAGAAGACCAAACTGATTTTGCTGAGCGATGTGTAAGCATGGGTTCACTGCTATCAGCCTTAGACTAAACAACAGTCAAGGCAATGGAAACATCTATGTCTGTCCAGCTGGCAAAGTGATGGCTTCGGTTTTCTTGGGTTTCAAAGGAATCCAACTGGTTGACTGTTTCCGAAAGACAATACCTTTAATAGCCAGGATTATGATATTCTGCTCAGGCAACTGCATGAGAATACCAAGTAAACGCCGTGGAAAATTCACTAAAGTCTGTGGTTTCCAATGCATGTTGTGGCTTTGAACTCAACTGAAATAGAATGCCAGTGGTTCTTGGTCATATTAATGAGGGTCGTTTTCACTAAACATTCAGTTAACGAAGTGGATCTTGAAAACTGCCATGCGAAGAGTCAGTATTCAATTAATGCGACAAATAATGATGTTCATCGACTTGAAGCTAGTGAATCACAAGCGTCAGTTGCATAGCCCATCGGCAACATGATACCACTAGAGATCTTCAAGGATGAGGGAGACACAGCATCGTCACAGCAGCCCAGTATCCGGGTCCTTCCCCTTCGAAGCAGGACCTACCTGCTGTAGGTCCTATACCTGAACAGGCTATATCTGTAACTGTTTATGGGGTGCCAGAATCCAAGCTAAAGTTCTACGTTGGCATTAACTTTACCTCTGCAGCAGTGGTGTCGAATAATACGTCATCAGTGGTTTCCAAGTTGTTGGCTTGGCGTGGCGTGGCGTGCCATGTGGTGGCGTGCCATGTGGTGGCGCGGCGTGGCGTGGCGTGGCCCAGTGCACAAGAAGTCGACAGATTCGGTGGAGGAAGTCATAAAAGTGGGGAACAATCTCTTACGGTCGAAGAACAGATTTTGTATATATTCAGGGCAAGTCCACAGGATCCAGTTTCTGTGACCAGACCTTACCCTCTCTTGTCCTGCCTCTGCAAGCACTTGGCGCCATGGCAATGTTCATCCATACACAGCACTCATCTGAGCTAGTTTTCGTGGAGGAGTTGACCATATTTCATCCAAATGTTGAGTATCTGTGGAATGATCTCAGACGGTTAAGTCAACTTCATCCAGGGCTACAGAATCTGCAGCAATATTGCCAAGTTCTGCAAGAAGAATGGGCTGCAATTCCACAGAGCGTCATCAGAAGGATTATTGGTTCCATGGGCAGTTGGTGTCGTGTACAGCTTTCAAAACCTTGTAATAATCAAAAGAATAGTGAGGCAAGGTGAAATAGGGTTTAATGTGGTGTCCAAGATTGTAACACTTATATATAGCAACACCTGCTGCTGCACTAGTCAGGACTAATGCAGATTTTATAGCCACTGAGATACCATGCCACAGTATAAAAAGAATACCCCACTCAGACAAGGTATACTGACTCCAAGCCAACCAGTAATTGTTTTATCCCCTAACTGCGAGCACCAGGCAGGGTAACAACAAGTACCATCTATTAACGTCTTTTGGTATGAGTCGGGCAGGGACCCACAATGCTCCATCCACTAGACCATGGAAGCGGTCAGTCACAGAATGAATGTCTTACAGACATGTATATACACCTCAACCTTTGATAGGGATGTTCTAAGTGAACAGCTTGGGGATAAATCTGACTGGATGTTTGGAGATGTATAAATACCATGATTGGGCATGAAGTGACACATTAAGCTTCAGTAATAATAAACAAAGTAAACACTAAAATATGTTGCCATCTCCCTATGGATTTGTTTGTTAGCCGTTTAACACGGCACTCAGCAATATTCCAGCTATATGACGGCAGTCTGTAAATTATCGAGGCTGGACCAGACAATCCAGTGATTAACATGAGCATCGATCCATGCAACTGGGATATGATGATATGCATCAACCAAGTCAGCGAACCTGACTACCTGATCATTTTAGTTGCCACTTACGACAAGCATAGTCGCCTTTTACGGTAGGCATGGGTTGCTGAAGACCTTTTCTACTGCAGTTCTTCATGGGTCTGTCTCCCTATGCAGCTAGCACAGTTAATAATCCCTATCAGGGTATGAGTAGCACTGTTCCAAAGCCTGCAGTTAAGTGAACTTAGGACCCCCAGTCAAAACCATCTGATCGATAATCAAGATCTATATTGTAATATGACGGGCCTTACCTCACAAAGTGCATCAGGCCACCTGAGCATGTTGAGAACCTTGATTAAAAACATGAAAAGATTTGCAAAATATCTGTCGACTCCCAGTTGGCGGTAAACGTGCTTGGAAAATCCTGCAGTCAACCAAAATCTGCACGTTGAAATCAATGTTTACGAACCAGATGTCTAGTTCATTGCACGATTTTGATTGGACTATGCACAGACTCGTTAGTCCAGCCAATATATAACTCCAACATTCCAGCCTAGTTCGGGTGGAAACTGGATTTTTACAGTCGGTTAACTCACTTGCTACGGGAGGATGGCATGCAACACTGGGTTAACTTCTTCCCATTCAGTGTGGCAACTATGTGCCTCATTACAGCCCTGGCTGATGATCACGTTCAATGACAGCCCTGCTTCCCCACGACTACTGAACATCACCAACAACACACATGGACAATCATGGTTTTATTGCCATCACGAGCAGATAGGAATCATGGTATGTACATCATCTTTACATAGCACTGTCATCATACAGGGGAAACAAGGAAGTTGTTTACAAGACATGTTTACATTATCCAACCATAAACACACGATTCACACCATCCCAACAGAGGATGCCATTCTCACATCCTCCCACCCAGAACACAATCTCATAATCCTGATATCCACGTCTCACATAAGACTTGTCAGTGTGGTATAAACAAATATAAATGAAATACAAGTGCAACCTAGCATGTTTGCAACACCTTACTTACCAAGAAAGAATCAGTATGAAAGGATCAACTTTGTCAAATAAGACTGTACTCAATTACAACACCATCCCCACACTTGAGGTTGCTAGGATACATGGAGTGAGGCCTTTGAGTCAGGAAAATCTCATGTGACATGATCACACCTTTAATGTGATATAGCATACAATCCTGAAGCTATACACCGGCATGGAGTCCTTCCAAGCCCTCTCCCCGTCATATCATTCACAAACCCTCTCTCCGGTTACATCATCGACCACCCTCTCTCAGTCACATCATCGACCACCCTCTCCCAGTCACATAATCGACCACCCTGTCCCGGTCACATCATCGACCACCCTCCCAATCATGCCCAACTGCACCAACTGTTCACTTGACGACTTTCCTTTTCATCCTTGTACTCTTCAACTTGCCCTTCTCCCCTACTTTAGGAATCACAGGGACTTTTCCCTCATTTTTCTTGCTGTCTTTTTTGACAACTTTCTTTGCCTTCCCCTTTTTCAGTTCCAGTTCTATCGTCACTGAATCATCCATATTAATCTTCAACGAACCACTTGTGGTCCTCGTCAGTTTGGATGACTTGATAACATTCGGAGGTGTCTTGAAGGATATTTCCTCCTCTGTGCTGTCCTCCCACAATATGGCCTTGTTGCTGCCATCTTTACCCTTCACAGTGTTGGGGACAGGAGACTTTACGTTCCTCTTTACAGATAGGTTCTGGAAGGTAAAGTGCCTTTACTGAGAAGGGTTAATCATGCAAGGGATTACTTTGGAACAGACACAATGTTATCACAAAATGTAATTAGACAATGAAACAAACAAAATGTGAAATAGTAATTTAAAACATTGTTTCCAAAATACCATGTTTAAAATGTAATTAGACAATGAAACAAACAAAATGTGAAATAGTAATTTAAAACATTGTTTCCAAAATACCATGTTTAAAAAAACATCTGTGTCAAGCACAATAATACATCTCGTACTTTTAATTATGATTTCTTAAAACTATTTTGGAAATTGACTGCTGTAGCATATCTAGTGAGTGAGTGAGTTGGGTTGAGGTTAATGCCGCTTTTAACAGTATTCCAGTTATATCACGGCGTGTCAGCTAACATCATTGGGGTGAACCGGGATTCGAACCCACAATCATAGGTTTCTGGCGTGCCCAAGGGACACAACTATGCACAGCGAATTGCGCGCCTTAGATGACTGGGCCACCTGTGCCCCCCATATCTAAAGAGGGCTATGTAACAAACCAGATGGAACTATTCTAGAAAGTGGAGTGGCGTTCCCTGCATAGCACTGACCGTCGTGATGTCGTCAGACGTGAAGTCGATACCCAGTTCTGCTAACTTGGAGAAACATTTCTTCTGCTTGCTGAGTGTCTTTCTTGCGAGAGTCAACTGTTTGGCCTTGGACTTGACAGCGTTGTGGCGCTGTATAGCATTCACATGACTCTTGGGGCGCTTGAACTTCCGATTACATCCCTTGAAGAGTGCTTCATGTACCTTCTCCTTTGGCAAGAATGCACCTGGTACAACAAGAAAAACACTTGGTTTGTTTGATTGTTTAACAACACACTCAGCAATATTCCAGCTACATCATAGCGAATTGTTTGATAGGCATTACTTAAAAGTTGGCAGATGACAAGGTACACACAAGTTGCTTGCTTGACAACCATGACAACAGTATAAGGATCTATTCCGAAATGTCGCCTTTACAGAAATTAAAGAAGTTGTTATCCATAAATTGTGTCTACTTTGTATATGATAGCAGCCTGTAAATAATTGAGTCTAGACCAGACAATCAAGTGATTGATATTGTGAACAACAATACAGGTCATCGGGGTACAATGTCACGCCATCAACCAAGTCACTGAGTCTGACCATCTGATAAATTGGCTTGCCTCTTATGACCAGTACATGCTGAGGATCAATTCTAACCCCAAGGCCAGAGTGAGTGAGTGAGTGAGTTGGGTTTAACGCCGCTTTTAACAGTATTCCAGTTATATCACGGCGTGTCAGCTTAATGTGGGAGGAAAGCCCGAAGTGATGCAGGTCTCAGACGTTTACCACTTCGGTGAAACCCACGAGCACGGGTATGGTGCTGACAAACCTACAAACATAATTGGGGCGAAACGGGATTCGAACCCACAATCATAGGTTTCTGGCGTGCCCAAGGGACACAACTCTGCACAGCGAATCGCGGCGCCTTAGACGACTGGGCCACCCGTGCCCCCCCCAAGGCCAGACTTTTCAGTAGTTAACTGAGTAAGTTCTGCATAATCGAGTTTGGTTGGTTGGTTGGTTGGTTTGTTGTTTTACTCCGCACTCAGAAATATTCAAGCTATATGACGGCGGTCTGTAAATAATCGAGTCTGGACCAGGCAATCCAGTTATTGATGTAAGCATCAACCCATGCAATTGGGTTGGTTGGTTTGTTGTTTAACGCCGCACTCAGCAATATTCCGTCTATATCACGGCGGTCTGTAAATAATCGAGTCTGGACCAGACAATCCAGTGATTAATATCATGAGCATCGATCCACGCAATTGGGATCGATGACATGCATCAACCAAGTCAGCGAGCCCGACCACCCGATCCGTTAGCCGCCTTTTACGACAAGCATAGTCACCTTTTACGGCAAGCATGGGTTGCTGAAGACCTATTCTATATGCAGGAAAAGAGCTAGTTACACATGAGTTGTCCCACATGTAACTGCCTTTAAGACATTGGGCGAGCAGGTGGGTGAATGCTGTCAGCAGTCTGCACGCAACCAGGTGGTCTACAGCATGAGCACACAACCAGGTGGTCTACAGCATCAGCACACAACCAGGTGGTCTACAGCATCAGCACACAACCAGGTGGTCTACAGCATCAGCACACAACCAGGTGGTCTACAGCATCAGCACGCAACCAGGTGGTCTACAGCATCAGCACGCAACCAGGTGGTCTACAGCATGAGCACACAACCAGGTGGTCTACAGCATGAGCACACAACCAGGTCGTCTACAGCATGAGCACACAACCAGGTGGTCTACAGCATAAGCACAGACCCTAGCCAGGGCACAACGACACACAATCTGTCAAACCACACCCATCGAATCACAACAAGTCTACCCTAATCTAATGACTAGTATGTGATGGCGGGAACTCATTCTCACCTGGGATCCCCATGCATGGCATCTGTGCTGTCCTCTGATGCTGACATAGCGAACATATGTGAAACATGGTAAACATGGGATATCATGGGATACGTACATTTCAGAAGCTTCTCAAACATGAGGTAGTTGTTCATTGTGTCAGCGACAATCTTGGCCACCTCTTCAGAAGCAAACTCTACAAAGGCATAACCCCTTGAGTTACCAGTCTGAAACATAAGTGAATGAGTCATGTTTTACACCATTTTAGCAATAATATTACAATATCACTGACTGTTGCGTTAAAAATTCATTTCCGAAGCAAAGCGACTCAATACATATCATAAAAATAATCTATAGAATATATTCTAGTAACAAATTAGTAGAACTTATTTTAAAATGTCATAAAATAACTTACACAATTATTGAAAGGCATTTTTTTTTAAACAACATTATATTTCAGACAAGTATGACTTTGCCAAAACACATTGCTACTGGGCAATGAAAACATTGATGGAAACGACAAGAAAAAATACTTTCATCACTGTGAATAAAACACTGTTGAAATCACTGATTGACGTACATATTGTGAGAAATGCTATTCATAAACTGCAGACATACCATAAAATGCAGGATTATGATTGGTTGCTTGATACATATTATGGTGTTTTGTTCATAAACACTGCTCTTATTCTTCACGACAAACGTGTTTCGTTCTCGTCCAGAGAAAAGCGCAGAACTAACTTTTGTGTTAGACTAGAATAAAAACACAAATCGTGAACATTCCACAGCTTCATTTTGTGAAGATGTGAAGACAACATTGCAGGTAGGTTTTGAAACCAAAGACCTATGCATTTGTTGAAAAGTCTTGGAATCGTTTGAAGGATATTTTATTACAATTAAAACTTACATCCTTGTTGCCAAACGGCACACGTGGATGGGTGTTTACATGATGTCACCCGTTTATGCATTAACCAATGAAATTTGTGTGTTATGACATCATATTGACCTGTCAGATCACTCGTATAATCTCAGCCTACTCAGAGTGCAGTAGTTCCTACCACAAATGCCCCTTTAAGAGAAATACGTGGTTACCAGAGAGAAAATTCAAGTGTTTGATTTGGGACTTACCCTTTTACTCCTAGCCATACGGAGCCGTGTCACCTTCCCAAACTGTGAAAAGAAGGACTCCATCTGTGGCTCGAAGAATCCACGTGGAATATGTCCGATGTAGACAACTCCAGGCTGGCTGACATCCCCTGTTCCCTGAACGCACATTAGAAACTAGGTTAGAACAAATCAGCTGATACACGTCAGTCAATAAGCAGACAAAGTTACTGTCTTTTGAAATCTGATGTAGTGCCACTGTAGTTAGATACCTGTTATTTTAATTACTTGCCCATCAGCCTGTGGACAGTTAAATTTACCAAGGGCTTTGTGAAACGTAAAATAGATGGCCAGCATGGCTAGTCACACTTTGTTCATTAACCATGTTAACCATATTTTCTTTTCTACGTTGCACGTTTCAGAGTTTCAAAAAAGATTAGAATAGAAGTTTCATTATGATTCATAGTGTAAAAAAAGATTTATCGAGTATAAATATGCGCTTTCAAAAAATAGAAAACACATCGTATCCCTTCAGATGAATAAACAGGTATAACAAACTTGGTCAACAAAAATATGAAATTTTGATATAAACGTCACTAAACATGATGATTTACCATTTAAAATGTATTTCCTGCTCTCAAAGGCATTGTTTTAATTGCAGAGATTAAGATTACCATGTGTATTTTCTCGTAAACTAAGCCTGAAATTAGCAATCGGCTGTGCACACGTTTCCTCCCAATCAACCGGTGATTCAGTTAAAATGTACCCAGTGATACCACTTTAAAGAAATTTGATGCAATGGTCGGAAGAAATTGTATCTGAAATTAATATTTTAACAGGAATAATGTATTCCAAAATCGTGTTATTTTAGTTGCAGCTTCCACCATATATACTTAAAATTATAAGAACCATAAGCGTAGCACTTTGGTACAAATTTTATGCAGGATATTTTTTGACGTATGGAATGATTTTGACCATTCACCATAGGGACTTCCCGCGCTACACGTATTTCAATTGCGAAAACGTTATGTTGACATTTAATAGTCAAACTGCCTCAAAGGTAACTTTTAGCGAGTCATGGTACGGCATTTATGATATGTGTATCCATGCTCTTGCAACTAAAGTTTGTTTCAAGGCGTCGACAGCGGTAATCTGACAGTGGTTGCTGTTAATAACGGTGTGTTGTGTGATCTACCGATCACTTCGCATATGATTTTACCAAAATTATTGTACACATTATTATTGTTATTGAATGAAATTTTGAATATAATTCAGATATATTGGAAACCATTAGTCCAGATAAACAATGATTTTTTTTATTACCAGATATTATAATAATAGGATTAAATTGCGTACTTCAGTTCGGATTTGTTGACAAGTATTTCAGTGTTACGTGATCGCGGTGATCAACTGATAATGTTTTCTGAGATGGGGGAAAATATAGTGTCATTGGAAAACTTGAGTTTACTGAAAATGTTAGTAAATTTTATTATATTATTTGTAACCGATCAAAGTCAGACATTCTTCCAAACAATGGTAGAATGTCTATTAGTAGCCAGTTTGTGAGATGACGGAACCATACAATTGCCTGATTCACCATGTTTACACAGCATGCTCATCAATCTCATTAAAATCCGATCTTAATTCTCACTATCGCTTAACAAAGATCTGAGGACATCCCATTACAGGTCATGTCAGAACAACCTTTCATCCGACCAATCAAAGCATCACTTTCCAGATCATGAAAGTGACAGTTGGAATGTGTTTTCTTATCATGCAAACTCGAAAACATTAACACAGGGTATTCCAAACGACAGTTACAGCCCGTTGACAAAATTATTGTCTATCTCTCGTTTGCGTGGAATAAACATCTGAACAGAGGCGGCGTTGCACAGTACGTGGGAAGCATTGCCATACAATCGCAACGAGACATTCCCGAATGTTCGTTTGTTCTGTTCAAAATTTTAATTGAGAACTGTGTCAACATATTTTTCAAGCATAGTCTGAAATGGAAGTCACAGATTGAAACGAGCCGAAAAGCTAGAGAAAACTGCATTCTAATTGGCTGATGTTGACTTCTTGTCAGTCTTTTCAGTGGGAGGTCAAGGTTCGCGAAAGATCGTTCTGACATGACCCGTAATGGGATGTCGTCAGATCTTTGTTTAGTGGCAGCGAGAACTTAGGTCTGATTTTAGGGAGATTGCATGCTCATTCACTTTTCAAACACATCATACATTTAGCAGATTGACCTATTTCACCAGTAAGCAAAACACAGTCACCAAAGACTGTCATGGTATTATCATATATAATGGTATAATGTCATTGTCATCTACCAACACATGATATTCAGGAGCATGATGTGCATGGCTAACAGCTAAAATGGCACAGTAGTAAACCGTCACCAAGCGAAAACAGCACTGATCCCCCCATACACAGTATGCTGGCTCTAGACCGACCAGTCCTTGTCTTAGCCCACCATGCCGAGGACCAGGCAGGGTAAAAACAAGCACCATCTTTTAAAGTCTTTTGGTATGACATGGCTGCTCTTCGGGCAGACATTCTAAAACAAGACCATGGAGGCCATCTGTTTATACTAGAAATTAACTTCTACTTCAATTTACTTGCTGACTGATTGAGAGGCGGAACAAAACATTGTCAAAACATCACATGCTTTGAAGTTTTGTACAAGATGTTTTAAGCCAAATTATGGAAGAGGTGATTGATTACACAAACTTAAGACATTGATGTACATTCAGAAGATAGAGAAGCAAATAGGACTGATGAAGCAAGAGTATCAGACATCAAGATGACTGACACTGACAGGTAACAAATTTTATTTCAAATTATTTGCAACAAAAAGACAGTATTTGCAATAAAAACAGAAAATAGTAAAAGTAAAAAAACTTGAGTTTCTGTATTTTTATTTTGGCTAGGGTACATTTCTGTATACAGAAACGTATCTGGGGTACATATCTGTAGTACCTGTGCTGAAAACGACCCCTTCAGCTACTCTGTATACATTATCTGATATATTATCTAGTTTTGTATAGTCCCTCATAACTTCATATGAGTTATATTTCTATTTTTATGTATAAACTCCTAATATATGCATGTTTTTAATGATGTTCAGCAGTGGGCCGAAAACAAAATATATGTGTCTACTACATAAATCGTTATTAATGTTGTTAAGAATATGAGGTGCCACATTCACTCAACAATTAGTAGACCTTTTGCGTTACCTTTTTCGAGAGAGGAAATTGGTGAAGTTTTGCAGAAGTGCCCTTTTGGTAACCAGTTTTCCCCCTCAAAAATATGAGTAAATGGATTGAGCGACAATACAAACATATAATATAGCTTTTGGCGGGTGCAGGCTAAAACGGCACCTCAGCAAAACGGCACCGATTTCTCTGGCGAAAACGGCACCGCATTTGGCGAAAACGGCTACTATGTGTCGGGCGAAAACGGAACCTCTATGTTTAATAACGATAACAACGATTTTTGTAGTAATATATAGGGTTTATTTACATGGTATTTGATGTATTGAGTACATCTGAAGCCGTAATGTGAATTTCCGATAGGTTTGGTACTCTCATTTCTTCAGACTGGAAACTGACATGAAAGTTACCGATCACCTCTTCAATGACAGGAGCTACGAATTTCACACAGCGGAAAGGGAAGTCAGTTCTCTATAACGGGCCAAAGAAAGTCCGGTTCCACCCGTCACAGTTATCACATGATACAGCTAGCATGTTGATTTTTTTTCTGTCATTCTTCTCGCATGCAACACATCGAAAGGCCATTGTGAATAATTGTGATCTGACAGCACCATGTTAGGCCTCTTAAATACAGTTTCAGTTTAAATTGAGTAAAGGTACTTAAAACTTCAAAGCGTATAGTGAATAAAAGTCGGTGAGTAAATTGGAGTAGGGGGCTAATTTCTTATTTGTTTTATTTCACAATTATTTGTGTTTGTAAGAGACGATGTGAGTTTAATTTCTATTATCTTTCTTCAAAGCATGTTATGTTTTCACCATAAGTTGAGTTGCGTATAAGCTAAGTTGGATTATAGTAGGAGCAGAGGCTAATTTCTAATGTAAACTTGTTTTAACATCTCACAATTATTGGCCTTTGCAAGTTACAATGTTAGTTTAATATCATTCATTTGACCAAGGTAAAAAAAAAAATAAGGTGCCGTTTTCGCTCGAGTCGAGGTGCCGTTTTCGCCAATCGATGCCGTTTTCGCCCGGTGACGTTTTGCTGAGGTGCCGTTTTCGCTATAACCCCTTTTGGCGGGGAATAGTCTTTCCGAAATTTAAGCCTGTACCCATGTGTATTAGTAACTTAGTATCACCTACAGACCCTACTCCACAGGAAGGAAATAGAAGCATTATAGTCAGTGGTGAGGAAAAACACATGTAGAAAGAAAGTTTCTTCTTAAAGACAGAGCCGTCAGAAGTAAGACGTACGCCCGTATTCCTCCTAAAACAATACATAATTGAAAGGATTGATAAATATAACTTTTGGAGTGGGGATACAGGCGGAAGTCTTTCCAACAGAGAAGACGTGCAGACTGTAGTGTTTAGAAAATGTCTTGGGTATTGTGCTGGAAGCGTCGTGTTTACACTCAGCCACAAACGGTGACGGCTTGCTGACACAGCGTATGGAGCACCGATTGGCCCACAAAAGGTAGATTAGCATGGTTTCTGGAATTAACAGAACGACATCCAACTTTCGTAAAGAAAGAACTAGTAGTCTTATGCCTGTTAAGGATTAAATGAAAATCGCCACACATTGAATATGTGTATATTGCGTCATGACAAACTTGTACACCTTAATAACCCCAAGACAATAGTTTATTTTTACCCTGTTTTTGATTTCCAATACAGTTTTTTCGAATTCCTCCTGCTGTTCGGGTTCCAGGGCCACATTATTAGGGAGTTTCACAGAACCACGCTTCTTTCTGGGGCTCGCCATGTTGGATATGTCACGTGGTTAACCATTCAGAGAACATCGACATATCCCGGCAATATCAGATACGTCTTAGCTTCACTACCGAGTGCAATAAGGACTTAAGGGACATTCCGATTGGTGAAAAGGGGTTCTTACAAAATGCGGACTATCGATAATCATGAATTTTCTTATAGATGCCATATTTCTTGCATTTTCAAATAGAAAATAAATGGACGTGATGTTATATGGATATATGATATCCAAACATAAATATTAATGTAATGATATATTGAAAAAGGTGCGAGAATAAATTCTTTCATATCGATCCTACTTTTATAACTACATTACCAGGCAACCAGATAACAAAATGGCGAAAGTTGTGATAGCAGGTGGGTGTTTGTCTACATGATGGTGAATTTTATGATCTGAAACTAACTTTTAAAGCAAATGGATTTTTTATGAACGTATCGTGTGCGTTTTCGCAATCTTCTGCATGTGGCATGTAGAAATACCCTTGACATCAGGGTAAAAAAATGTATTCAATGACCGAATGTTTTGATGTGTAGAGATAAACTTTTAATGTGGCTGAAGTTATTTTTGTACTTGTTGAATAAATCGAGTAGAAAATACTTTGCCAGTTCATCCAGATCATTAATGTATGTATTGTTGTTAATTATGTATTCTTATGCAAATATTTAATTAATTGCCTTGTGATAAATGTTGTTTGTTGTTTATCTCTGCGCTCAGGAATATTCCAGCTAGGCCTATGTGACTGCAGTCAGTAAATAATCAAGTCTTTACCAGACAATTCAGTGACTGATATTATGAGCATCGATCCACACAATTGTGATATGATGACATGCATCAACTAAGTCAGCGAGTCTGACCATCTGATCCCATTAGTCTACTCTTCACAGGTCTTGTGATACATTTATAGGTGTCTAAATGGTTCAGCAACACTGAATGTAGCATACCAGATAAAGGTCAGTGACTGAAGATGCAAACTGTTATGCTGGCAAAAGAACATGTCAGAAACATATATTTGGTAGATGCATTTTATTCACGAAAGAAAATGATACAAATTAAACTATAGGTGCATCACATACTCCAGTTGAAAATGCTGACGTATATTTTTTCAAGGAAGGGCTGACTGCCCCTACTTTGCACGAGTGGAGCTCATTGGCGACAGATTGTCAAAAAATCTACCAGATTTCAAGCTGCACAAGATAATAAAAACTGATGATGAGTGGGAGGTGAGATAATAATGCTTCTTTTGTTTTTAATAAATAATATGTTTTTGTTCTGATATAGAGTTGTTATGTCTGCTATTTCTCTGTAAGTTATGTTCCTTCATTTTGATATTATGTATGTGATAGTATGTGGCTCAATGTAGGTCTGGGATGAGTGCCCAGGTACATGACCCAATACTACCTAACCCTGCCCTGGTAACCACTGTAGGTCTTAAGTGTTTGGTACAAAATGTCAGATTGGGAATTGTTTTTCTGGAGCCCTGGCATAAAGTATTTTAGATACACGCATAGAACAATTTGGACATGCATAGAACAATCTGGACATGGTCATGTTGACTGAAGCTTTATATTTATTCAAACAGAATGAATGCACAGTCAGAAAGAAATGCAAACATAAGTGACTTGCAGTAGCACCATGGAGTAATTGTGAATTTTTGTCTATTAAAAAATACATCGCGTGACTAAACACAGTTCCGGGTAGTCCTGTTGGTACCCAGGCCCTACTCAGTACCCACCTGATCCGAATTACCCCATCTTCCCAAGGCAGGGGAGTTAACTGACTGTAAAAGTCCAGTTTTCACCCTTGCCGAACTAGTCAGTTAACTCCCTTGCCTCGGTAAGATGGAATTATCCATTCCAGCCCTAGGTCAATGAGTAAATAGTTTTCACTATCTTTGCAATGTAGTGTGAAACATTTGAGAATGGCAGAATATAATTTTCAATTGTAAAACTTTCTAATATACAAAGAAGTTCTTATTTAACTTCTCCCATATAACTAGATGAGTCAAAGAATGGAAATCGTTGGTAAGTGAAGATCTTATCACCTGTACCTGTATCATGTTTATTGACATACAAACAGGGAGGATACTTCTGTCTTACACTTTCTCTACCAGACCTAGTTTCATGGCAGTTGTCACCAATGTATGTATATCTTGAAAAAACAGTTGGGTTTGAGCATAAGAGATAAAACATTCTCCTGCCCCATTTTTTCAAATATCGGGGACAGTTCAGTATGGAAAGTATTAAGAAAAGCACTAGAGGCATTAAAGGGTAAATGGCTGAAAGCAGCCATGGAACAAGATCTGGCCCCGCTCCAATAAGCGCCCACAGCGACATTTGCTAAGATATTGGCCAGTGAACAATCCCAATTAGCACCCCTACCGATTGATCAATGTACACAATACTTATTTATTCGCATGTAATACGCACTCGTGTGTTATTGCACCCTTAATTATGGGCATTTAATTCTGGAAAAATATATCTGTCGTACATAAACATTTCAGGCTGTCAGCATAAACCACGAAATTTATCTTTCAACTGTGTTTTTTTCTCACCAAAATAACATTCTAATAAGAGCCCCCATTTCTAATTTTGAGAGCACCCTGGGCGCTTATTACATCAAATACGGTATGTTTTTTTGTTTATATATTGATGTTATATTACAGAAATGGCTTGATGAGACTTGTAATGTACGAGGCTGGAGTCACAGGAAGTCACCACTCATCTGGCGGGAGTTGATCGACAGGGGTGGGAAAGGGGTCCTTATTGGTGGAGCCAATGAGTTCCAGGAGTATGTGACGGGCTACTACGGTGTCCAGTCTGCAATGACAAGCGATGACATGACCAAAGTTGCAGAAGAGAACAAGGTGACAAAGACAGAAGTGGATGAAGAGATAGAAACCCACCTTGCTCTGAGTCAGCCCCTTGCTGTGTGCATCACCAACGCCAGTAGTCCAGTCTGCTACAACCTCATCAACGTGATCGCCAGTGGGGAGGTTTTTGGAGAGTCAACAGAGCTTGCTATCAGACTCTGTGATTCTGAAGAGAAGAGAGAATATTTATCAGGGGTTGAAATGGAGGCCTACGATCTGGCACATGGTCTCCTGCGAGATGTGAAAATCGTGTGTGATGTGCGTGAAGCTTTCACAGACTGCAGTATCATCCTGCTGTTGGATGAACTGGAGATGCAGGAGGAAGAGCCTAGAGAGGAATGGCTTAAACGAAATGCTGAGTACTTTACTAACTATGCTTCTGTAATAAATGAGGTTGCAGCTAAAAATGCCAAAGTGTTACTGGCTGGGAATGGACCACTTAATTTCAATGCTTGTATGATGTTGAAAAATGCACCAAACATTCCTCGTCAGAACATCGTTGCTCATTCACGTATGGTAGAAAACTATGCCAAGTCTGTTGTAGGAGATCGGTTGAGTGTGAACCCGTCAGGGGTGGTAGACTTGATCGTGTGGGGAAACATCAACAGTAAACACTACATTGATGTGACCAAGGCCCGTGTACATGGTTACGACGGGGCAATATGGGGGCCGCCATCCTACTCCGTGTCTGCACAGGAGATGATCCACAATGACAAGTGGATAGAGAAGGAGTACGTGGAGCTGGTGGAAGCACGCAGAAGTACGGTGGAGGCAGCTCTAGGTCACCCCGCCTCCATGGCACACGCCAGCGCAGTGGCCACCACACTCAAACACTGGACAAATGGCACACCCAAAGGGCAGATGTTCTCCCTTGGTGTCTGTTCAGAAGGTAACATTTGTTTCCGTTAATAGGATTTTCAAACCATAAGATTTGTGTATGTCGGGTTGCCCAGTCGTCTAAGGCACCGCGATTCGCTGTGCAGAGTTGCGTCCCTTGAGCACGCCAGAAACCTATGATTGTGGGTTCGAATGCCGGTTCGCCCCAATTATGTTTGTAGGTTTGTCAGCACTATACCCGTGCTCGTGGGTTTCACCGAAGTGGTAAACGTCTGAGACCTACATCACTTCGGGCTTTCCTCCCACATTAAGCTGACATGCCGTGATATAACTGGAATAATGTTAAAAGCGGCGTAAAAGCCAACTCACTCACTCACTCACTCACTCACTCTCTCTCTCTCCTCTCTCCTCTCTCCTCTCTCTCTCTCTCTCTCTCTCGTATCATGGGAGACACAGGTGGCCCAGTCATCCAGTGTGCTGCAATTTGCTGCGCAAATTTGCATCCCTTTGGCATTCCAGAAACCTATGGTCGTAGGTTCGAATCCTGGTTCACCTGGGTTATGTTCCTGATCTGTCAGCACAGTAGCCATACTCATGGGTTTCACCAAAGTGGTAAACATCTGATACCTGCATCACCTGGGTCTTTCCTCCCACATGACTCGCCATTATACAACTGCAATACTATTTAAAGCAGTGTAAGGCCAAACACTCACTCTACATCGCTTCTTTTTAATGGAATTGTAAGGATTTAACATGTTACAATAAGTATTTGTGTTTTGGGTGACATTTATTTTTGTTAAATGGTGTGTATATGTTAAGATGACATTCACATATCCACTGGAGAACACTTGAGTGCTGGGAAGATCTATAGATGCTGAAGGATATGTTGTTGTATATATAATTGTCATCATGACACTGTCTTGCCTCCCAGGTTGGTACGGTGTCCCAGAAGGCCTGGTGTTCTCCTACCCGGTAACGATGCAGCCAAAAGGCTACTTCACTGTTGTACAGGACATTGACCTGTCTGAGGACTCCAAGAAGAAGCTTGAAGATGTTGTGCAGGTAGTGTTTCCTTCACCTCTATCCCCGTCCACACGCTACTTCCACGATAGGTTAGCAACTAAGTATCCAATTATTCATGAAAGTATGTATCAGGTGACCATCGGGGCTGCTGTTTGTATATACCTCTGTATCTCCAGGCCTCACATTTCAGTAAACCTTCACTAACCCCTGGATCTATTCCTTGGATCTCGCGATCTCAAATTACCTCCCTTGATTTTCATAAGCAAATATGATTTGCCACGCTATTTAGTCTTTCATACTAATCAGAGTGTGAGATACAAACCAGCCTCAATGTTGGGTTACCTCCCTTACCTGTTTCCATTTTTCTAATCTTGACGTTTGATTGGTCGGTAAAATGTTAATAAACATCAGGGGCAGGTAATTTGCGATCGCAAGAACCATGGAAGTGGGTCCAGGTTTACCAAAATGCGAGCCCTGTAGATAGAGGATACTTGCACTCAGGACAAGGCTATTTATCATACCTCCATGTCAGAAATGAGAATGACGAGATCTGATTGGTCCACGTGATCTTGATACAATACTGTGTAACCCGCTTTGGAGGGTAATAAATTTTTCAGCAGGGGAATAAATCTCTTATACCCCGCCACAAGCACTACAGCCTGCACGTGCATTTTTTAGACAGAACTTGATACCCAACTTTAAATCAATCGAGCAGCTGTTGTCTATCAACTTGGAATTTATTTAAATTATTAATACATCTAATACATGTACAACTTGTTTTGATGAGATACATGCATCTGTTCAGATAATATTCAAACTGTATTCATGATAATCAGAGTTAAATTCCTTTTTAATACTTCTAGGAAACGTTTTGAATCTAAGAATTGGCATTGATGTCATGCAGAGGGTAATACTATGAAAATGGTATTTTTAATTAAAATTAGAACCTTGGATATTGTTGGTGAGCAATGGGGATAACTCCAAATATTCACCCATTTTTCAGTCTACTGATCACAGTTTGAGGATGCTATGTGTAAATCGTCACACAAGTATCAGTAAATATTCTTTTTACAGTCTCTCTTTTGACAATCATAATGGTCAGATCTTTTTGATAATTTTTTCAGTTTTAGTGATTAAGTGATGATGGTTTTGTTTTGCACAGGAGCTGACGCAGGAGTTGGAGGTGATGTTCCCACCCCCTTGTCCTACACCCCCAGTTGAGGAAGCTGGGCAGACAGAGGACCCTGGACAGGTCAAGACCGAAGACCCTGGACAGGTCAAGCCCGAGGACCCTGGACAGGTCCAGCCCGAGGGGGAAGATGACTCTAAGCAGGACGGGCAGACAGAGGAGAAGACGGAAGATCCTGTTCAGGAGGAGACTGTGGAAGGTAAGGAATTACAGGTCAATGCCCTGCAACATCAGTCTGGCTTTGGAGTAATCTGCTCTTATAGGCTCTCCAGTACCCATTGTATGTGGAGACTGAAAAGAGGATTGTGTGGTTACGATGTGAGACCTGGCTGATTGTGTGGTCACGATGTGAGACCTGGCTGATTGTGTGGTCACGATGTGAGACCTGGCTGATTGTGTGGTCACGATGTGAGACCTGGCTGATTGTGTGGTCACGATGTGAGACCTGGCTGATTGTGTGGTCACGATGTGAGACCTGGCTGATTGTGTGGTCACGATGTGAGACCTGGCTGATTGTGTGGTCACGATGTGAGACCTGGCTGATTGTGTGGTCACGATGTGAGACCTGGCTGATTGTGTGGTCACGATGTGAGACCTGGCTGATTGTGTGGTCACGATGTGAGACCTGGCTGATTGTGTGGTCACGATGTGAGACCTGGCTGATTGTGTGGTCACGATGTGAGACCTGGCTGATTGTGTGGTCACGATGTGAGACCTGGCTGATCGTGTGTCATGGTGCCCAGACAGCATGGACTGATTTCTTGACCTGCTGGCAGAGAATGGATTGTTTACAGGCCATGAGACAATAGCTGTAATGTTACAGACTGATACGTTAAGACAACATGCACACACTGCCATTGGAATGTCCAAGGCAGAATAGGTCCTCAACACACAGAATAGGTCCTCAACACGGAGACTAGATCCTCAAAATGCAGACTAGATCCTCAACACACAGAATAGGTCCTCAACTCACACAATAGGTCCTCAACTCACAAAATAGGTCCTCAACACACAGAATAGGTCCTCAACACATGGGATAGGTCCTCAACTCACACAATAGGTCCTCAACACACAGATGGGGAGTTGGTGCTTCGACAGGTTGCTAAGTATTTGGATGGATGAGCCCCTGGAACAACCAACTGTGTCAACTGGTGCTTGTGTGTAATCAGAACCCAGACAGCTATTATCTATGCTTGCACTCTGGACCAGGCTCACTTAAGGCTTCATTACATCACAGACTATTGTGACGTAGCCAGCCTCCAGTTGCACCTGACAACGCATGACTAACTTTGAGCTCATCATTTGTCTCTCATACAAAACCTGACACGAAAATATCTGAACATCCTATCAAGTCTACAATACTTTGGCAAGTCTTCAACATGTTCAGTTTTAGAAATGAAGAGTTTTTCTCTGGGCTCTTTTCTATTATATATTAAAAGAAAATTACCCAAAACAAATGTTAAAATATTTTATCCCAGAGATCAAATGTTAATCTTACACATCATCCCAAACCTGCGGGAATGATTTCAAATCAACATAGTTGGGATCAGAGAAGTATCTTAAAAACTGCATAATCTTTGACTGTTTGTGACAGGTTGTCTCAATCATAATTCAGTTTACATCAGTTGAATTAAAGCAAATGTTTTTGGGGTCGCTAACTTTACATTGAACATCACTGTGTTTGTTATTTAGTGAAGTGCTCCTTTCTGTTGTAGAAGGTGGAGCAGAGAAGACACAGGAAGGGGAGGATGTAAAACAAGAAACACAGCCAACAGAGGGGGAGGCAACATCATAAGGAACAGCCAGCCATCCTGAAGAAAATAGCCATGAAGACTAAATTACATTATATTTCCAGAAGATCTGTGATGATTCTCATTTGAATTATATTTCACATATTGTTGACTGTTACAGTTTCATGTTGTCTTTCAAGAACTCTGTGATACTTATCTTGTGAGTGCCAAGGTATCCTTGCATCACAGTTCATGAAGGAACTCCATTTGTCTCGAGATAAACATACATTAATCTACTCCTGGGAAAGTATTTCATTTGTTTGTGAATTATATGTATTTGTTTCAGTGTTTCCTAAGATTTGAACCAGTGAAGTACCCTTGTTGTACAGTGCGCTTGAAGTTTCAGCATTACTTTCTGTATGTACAGTTAACATAAGGATTCTATGTATAAAGTATTAAAGACTCATAATTATGTTTATTGTTATGATTCTGTTCAATCTGCAAATGGCAGTCAAAGCTGTAAGTTTGTGAAATTCAGCCCATCAGAGTGCCTATTATTTTACCTTGCCAGACAGGAGATGCTTGGACTTCAGAAGCGTTTATTGACCTGGGCCCCATTCCACAAAGCGATCTTAGCGCTAAGTCTTTCGTAAGTCTATGTTAAAGTATGGGAGTTACGATCATCTTAGCACTACAATCGTTTTGTGGAACGGGGCCCTGGGAGTAAAATGGACTGCTGGTATGATTTTGTGTTCACTGCAGAGCTCGAACTGTTGTAATCAGGAGTCCTATCGCCAAAATGAAGTGATAATGCATTGAATTATAGACTAAAAGTCAAATAGCCTAAGATGGGGTGTTAAACATCAAAGTCAATAAATTCCCACTACGACAGGTAACTTATTGCAAGAGTGAGGGTTGTGCTGCAGCATTCTGTGACGACACGTTTGATATTGAGGGAATTACGTAAATGGGAATGTTTTAATCCATTTCCTCAGTATTAAGCATTGTGTTATTGTTTCTTATAGATATGCATATACTCCTTATATGGATAAAATATTTTAAGTTATATCCTATTAATCTTACTTTTATGCAAAACTGCTAACACAATGTGTGATTTCCCTATATGCCTTTATTGTTATTTGTGAATTTGGTGCAGTCGTTCATCAGTGCTCGTAACGCAACATGAAGCACACCTTCTGTTTTTAAAGTGAAAGTTATATTTAATCCCAAAGATTTTAGAAATATCCATCTTATTAAAGCTTAAATACTGTTCTCTGAATAGTTTAGCAGACATTAATACAGACTGAGAGTGTCCACTAAATAGGCTGACACAATTCCCAGGTTTTATTTCAGACATATTAACACCGAAAATATAGATCTTGCATGGAAGGTGCAGGAAATGTTGAACTTCATCCCACTAGATGACAATAAATAATGTCGGAGTTTGAATACATATACATTTTAATACAAAGATGGTATTCTTATTATGGATACATTATCTTTTTCAGGACAATGAACATTAATGATTTTCTGTCTTTGGATATTTGGATATATCTTTTGATACTTGTTTAAATTACAACTATTATTAAGTTCAAAAGAAAATTGACTACAAGTTCTAGTAATTAATATTTCCCCATTATTGAAATAATGTTCAACTATGAAATCAGAAATGTCAACAGTATTTTTTGTGTCATTTTCTACTGTTACAATGAGTTTTATACCAGTCTTAGTCTGACAAATACATCCATTCATAATTAATGCAGATTCACACCATAAAATACAATGTAAACATGTCTTCTTGACATAGTAAAGACATTTGCAAGTGATTTTCAGAAACACTTGGTTGTGAAAACACATACTTATCAACAAATCCAGTTGCCCGCTGTGGTAAAAGAACTGGATGGTTGTCCGAGGTTGTGTGGTGAGTGTTGCTTTCTGCACACTAGCTGTCTACAAGATAATACAGAACAAGTGGTACAGAGGCACGCCTTTTAGAAGGTGTCTCTATAATAATTTAAAATTGAAGTTCCAAGGATATACTAAGCTTTCCTTTTTGTCTCAAAAGTTACAACAGACAAGTTGCTTAATACATAATGTTGTTATTCAAAACATGTAATGTACAGAATCATTACATTCAGAACGGCAGGAACAATCATGCCTCTGATGGCCTTGACCTTTGATAAACAATTTGACACCCACCCTGACATCATGCATGAGACATAGGTGAATAGTCTGTCATCAAGTGGTCAAGAAGTTGTGACACCATTGTAGGCCAGTAACAGAATAATTTCCTGAAGTACTCGTTACATAGGAAGTATGTGAAGTGAACATGTTCCTATCAACTTGTAAATTATAAGAAGCATCCAAAAACTTCAATGGAACAGCCTCCCTATTTGAGAGAAGATGACTTTGCAGCCAAGTTTGTTTTCAAACAAACTTTTGCTCCGATGAACTTTTCAAAATGAATACTCTCCGTTAACTTCAGGCAATAGAGAACATATTCGACAGACACAAAGTAAGTATGCCACAAAAACGTATCCATCAGGAAGTTGATGACTTGTCCCCAGCTGAGATGAGTCTAAATGTACTACCCAGGTACCCTACCCTACCCGGGTACCCACTGTAGGTCTCAAGAGTTGGGAACAAAATGTCCGATTGGAAATTGTTTTACCCCAGCCCTGGCAAAAACCTTTTAGATACATGTATCAAGCGATCAGATCATACATACACTGAAGTTGACTGGGGATTCCAGGAAAAATATAGCTCCCACCAACGTATGCTTGTAAGAGGCAACTAAATGGATCGGACGTGTGACTTGGTTGATTGCACTTCCCATTTACATAGATTGATGTTCAATATGTCAATCACTGGATTGTCTGGTCCAGTCTTGGTTCTTTACAGACCGCCATCTTAATCAATGGCAAATATGGAACATTTCACACCTTGTATCAATAATACCACACATCCTAATCTGTGGATTAACAACAAACACCATACATGCCAGTAAAAATTTATTCAGGCACTTGTTTTATAAAAAGACAAACAGAAATTATTTCATGTGACCCGTAGGACATCAGTTGTAGGATTACACAGTAGCAGAGGAAAGAAGCAATAGCAGTGGGTCAAGTCAGAGAGTACATCTGCATCAATATCGTGACCTAGGCATGTACCAGTACAAGGTCGCCACAGCGATGTCAACATTTCATGAGCAGTATGCATGCATTGACCAGAGACACCACCATAGGATTGAAATGACATCCTACACAGGAGCTGATAGTCTTCATGTCCTCCGATTCTCTTCTGAAATGTCAGTTCATTTTTGAAAACCCACAACTGAAGTAACACGTCTAAATATTTATCAAAGATGACTTTATATCTTTCTTGATGTCCAGAAGTAGAAACATGCATCAATACAAACCCAACTGAGCATGTCAGTGCTGTATCAACATTCCCATATTGGACGGTGAACTCTCCAATCACAGCACCAGTTTTAGTAGTAATGGAATGTGGGAATGGCAATTTTCAAATAACAAAAGTCACCAAACACCTTGTAACAGAAGAACTGACACATCAAGGATGAAAACAATGTTTCCTAGTCAGATTAGTGAGACGCTCATAGCAAATCAACATAGCTTTAACACTTGCACAACTTTTGAAGTTTCCCTGATTTGGGGGCAAGACAGTAATGGATTGAAAAACTCCCGACTGAAGATGTTGGCTGTACTATCCAAATTCTTTCTTAGAAATGGAAGACACACTTGACTTAAAAAAAACCTGCAATTTGACAGCTGGTTTTCTGAAAATCTCACATACCTCTTGTGGCAATCACTGATATCTAAACATGAAAACATGACTGGCCTTCATTTTGTTTTTTATAATAATGGCTATAATAATATAAAAGGTTTTTCAGTATGTCAACATATTCAAGGGAATCTGCTGGTTTGTCAGTATCTATTAAGAGTAGTCAATATCTATTTAGTCCATAGAACGGTCCCTCACGATTTTAGATCAAATATTGTTAACATTGTTGTTAATATTTATACATGGACACCGCATGGTTTGCATCATGGTAGAACACAACTCAGCAGACATCCTGGACCATCTCGACAAAACCTTCATCATCATAATTCACACACAGAAATAAATACATCAACAACAATTTCACATTATCAGAGCAGCTGTGAACCTAGAACCAAAATAATGTTTAACATATTGTTATAAATGTAACATGTCAGTTCCATCAACAGATCAGATTATGATCACAATTTTGGCAAAATGCATCATTCATAATTTTAGAAATATTATCTAGCCACCAACATTCCAATTAATACAGAAGGAGCTCTCTGAAATTAATAAGTCATCAAAGTATTCATTAATTGTACTAGACTATTTCAATATGCTATGGTAAAACTGTTATATTTGATTTCTTTGGATAGATAATGCAAAACTGTGTAAATGCTATAGAAACAAACAAATTATAATATAACAAAATGATTAGATTATTGCATATGTAAATACGTGAAACCCGTCAACTCTCCAGCAGAAATGTCATTGATCTGAGATGTGAAAGTGGGCCAAACAGTCCCCAAGACAATTTCACGCCAAGACAATCGTAACTCCCATACTTTCACTTAGACATACGACAGTGGTAGCACTACGCAGTGGACACACAGCATTGGCCAGCAGCACACATGCTGATACATGAGACCAGTGTGGGGCAATCAGGCCAGACATTGGTGCATTCAGGGTCCAACTGTTTGGAGGTACTGTTGGGTATCAAGAAACAATATGTTCACACACTTAGATTCACAGTTTGTGCCTCTCTAGGGAAATATATTCTCACAATCAAAAGAAACGCGAATACCATACATGTATGTTCATATATGAAGAATTACTCATATTCAAGATACATGAGATAGGTTAGACACACAAACGAATATACTGGTATGTTGTGGGAACCGACGCTTATGAACGCACCACATGTGACGTCATAGACCCATGACTCGTAAAAACACCATTTGTCTCGCACAGGATTAGCATGAAAAGTAAAGGAAATCACATGCAGCATATCGTGATAAGTAATAAGAAACTGTGGTAACACTTGACGATTGTTAGTTTTGTCATTAATTGGTACACATTGGAAACATCTCTACTTAACATACATACTTCTCTGTATGTTTCTGTGGTTTGCGTTTCTTTTGGTGGTGAGCATAGTTGCAGGCTTCTCACCAAGGCATGAGACTGTATGGAGATGCTACCTCATGGTATGGGTATTGGAGGTTTAAAGTGTATCACAACATTTGATGATGCACAAGGCTGTACTGCAAAACATATCATGGTATATTGTATAATTTTATATTGTGATATATATCATGGAAAGAAAGAACCTCAATTTACCGATATGCCGGAAATACAGCACACCCTTAGCGGCTACTATGGCACTGTTCAAAATATCTTGCTGGGAAATCATGCTGATTGGTGGGTGGGTGAGTGAGTGAGTGACTATGGCTTTACGCCGCTTTTAGTAATATTCCTGCAATATCACAGCGGGGGACACCAGAAATGGGCTTCACACATTGTACCCATGTCTGGAATCGAACCTGGGTCTTCGGCGTGACAAGCGAACACTTTAACCACTAGGCTACCCGACCGCCCCATCATGCTGATGGATTTGTACATATATATCAAAACGATCATAACATATGTCCACGATGGACTTGCAGCTTTCTGTGTGACATAAGAGGACAAGCATGGTCCAGCACATTGGAGGACAACCCTGTTGCCTGGACAGATGATGCTGGGACACACTCAAACTGAGATATCTGTAACACATCAGCTGGGAGAGGTCTGTTTCACATAACACCATATATGACTGTATAAATGACAAGTCAGCAAATTAAGATAAACATTAAAAAAATCAAAAGGAAAATATTTGATCAAGAATATATATGATTATACAAACGCACATAAGATATGCAATGACTGTTGATTAAAACAACATGGACATCAAGCACTGAATGATAAACCATTACTGGATCACCATCATCACCATCATCATCATCATCTCTGAACATGAAAAGCATATGAAACAAAAACAGAACTTTTGAAATATAGCACGATCTGAATCTAAATATATGTAAACCAGTAGGACCCATCTTGAGTACAAACAAACCGCACAACGTTTACATACAGCAAAGAACTTAGGAATATTTCTACTAAATCAAAACTTGAGCAATTTTAATAATAAATATATCAAAGATAACCATAACAAAATGTTCTTTAACAATGAATGTCCGAAGTAATAAACATTTGTTCACCAGACACAAGATATGTTTGATGCTTTACGATGAATCTCTCCAATTTGCTCAAATATATGTTAATGTTAACTAAATTACAAGGAAAAACTCTGATGAGGTCATCACTAACTGATTTACATGAAGCAATTTGCTAACAGAAACTGTAGACCTGCAAAAGAAACTTGGGGCCAACTGTCTCTCATTTCCAAACCTCTTCCTCATTGTGTTTCAAAAAAAATGCCATTCATGCTATACCAATGCTGATTTGATTTGACTCAGTGTTACGACTAGAAACATTTCCTTGCTTCCCCCTCCGAGACAACACAGAGGAGTCCCATTGTGGAGTAGCTTTACCCAATACTTTCCTCCTCCAAGACAACACAGAGGAGCCCAAATTGTGGACTAGCTTTACCAATACTTTCACAGCACACTCCGGAGGAAACAACTCCCACGTACATTCATGATTCAGACTTGTGCAATGGCAAAGTTATTTCTTAAAATTTACGGTAAATTCTCAGAAGGTAATTTATTCAATTTAATGTTTTTAGATTTACCATAATGAGATGTGATTATTCAATTATATAAAAGATTACATGATATTGATGGCCTGGGCCCCGTTCCACAAATGATCTTAGCACTAAGATGATCGTAACTCCCATACTTTAACATAGGTTTTCAACAATCATAACACTAAGATCACTTTGTGGAATGGGCCCCAGAAGTATAATTTACCAGTGAAACACGGATCAATCAAATAAGTTCGGTTAGATTAGGATTCAATCAGGAGAAAGTAGAAATTGTGCCATAAGAAATAGTCTTACGTCATTTTACTGACCTTTTCACTCGTTATGAAACTCAAAATACACATTGTCTTTGTTATTGAAAGCACTGCATTCATATTGGCTCTTAGAATGTGAGGAATCAATTATGAATGCCCACTGTAAATATTCAAATAACAACCATCATAAAATCATAAATATACAATTACTTTCACATCAAAAATATATTCAGCTTATCACAGTATCACCATGATCATATTTAGTGTGGCACTGCCAGTTCATCTTCCCAAGGCAAGGGAGTTATCTTACTATAAAAGTCTAATTTCCACGCTTGCCAGACTTTTATTTTGGCGGAACTAACAAGTAAATACATAGTCCAATCAAAATCGCATAATGAAGTTGACATCCAGTTCGATAACTGCTGTGCAGATTTCGGTTGAATGCAGGATTTGCAAAGCATGTGAACCATCAACGCAGCTTAAACAAATATTTTCCAAATCTATTCATGCTTTTAATCAAGGTGCTCATGTGATTTGATGCACTTCGCAAAGTAAGACCCATTATCACAATATAGATTTTAATTATCAGATCATCTTCACTGGGCACCGTCATTTTGTTTGAAGCAACTGCAAGTGATATGAGAGGTGGAATCTGATTGGTCATTAGGAGTGACATCAAAGGGACATAACTCGTAATTGCCACTGGTGGCGCTATGATCAAACCCAGAAATCCCAGGCTGGTTCAGCAAGGGTGGAAACTGGACTTTTATGGTCAGTTAACTCCCTTGCCATGGGAAGATGCTGCCAGTTGTGCAATAGTCAACCACTACTTGCTGCTACTACTTGTCACTTAGTGTTGTCTGTGTGCTTCCTTCAACTAAGACAGGCACCAGCCCATACACAAACAATATATATATATATATATATATATATTATTATACAAAAAGAACAAATCAACTTAATCTTTGGCTTATGAGGGACTATCATCTGCATACATGTTGGATTACACTGCAAATAGCAAACAAAAGAGGGTTAACTAAAACAAGACAAAACTTGGCACATGAATGTCCAACAGGCCAGCTATGCCTGCCGATGTAATGCTGGGAGAGAGACACCTGCTACAAGATACACTGGCTGCTACTATATGATACACTGGATATCTCTCCTGGTTGGCTAGCATGTCTCTCCTGGTTGGCTAGCATGTCTCTCCTGGTTGGCTAGCATGTGTCTTCTGTTTGGCTAGCATGTCTCTCCTGCTTGGCTAGCATGTCTCTCCTGCTTGGTTAGCATGTCTCTCATTAGGATGTCTGGATAGCTGCTTCACTGAGGACACCCAAGTGTTCTTCACATTTTCATAATACTTGACACTTACATTCTAGTTCCAGTACTAAACCATTACGGCACACATATCTTCTTACATTACGCAAGTTGGATAACATACTCAGGAAATGGGTATTAACACTCAAATAGGACTTTGCAGAAATTATGCCTTGTGATTGGATCAAGAAAATCTAACAAAGGTTTATTGAATGTATCTCACAACATTCCAAACTATGACCTTCACCTTGACCGAGAGGAAATCTTGAGGTAGGAGGTTTATCTTCACTTTACAAAATATATGTAAGTTTTATCGCAAGTAATTCACAACTCAATTGACACAGAGATTTACAGATTATCTGCACGTATTGATGTGGTAATCCCGCCGCGTTGAGGCATGGGATTTACAAGCTAAAGTCGCTCAGAAAAGATAATCCATAAGTCCTTCAAGCTAAGCTGGTACATGTATGTCATTGTCTGTGTAGATTCAGGAACAACTCTATGTACATGACCACACAATCCAGGGACCTGTTCCACAAAAAGCGATCTCTGGGTTACTTCTATTTAAGTTGTATGGGATCTACGATGGTCTGAACATGAAGATCTTTGTGGAACCGGGCCCTGGCCTTTCTCGGGGAACAACAGTGTCAGACACACACCGTAGGGTCAGTCAGTCAGTCAGTCAGTCAGTCAGTCAGTCAGTCAGTCACGGTCAGTCAGTCACAGTCAGTCAGTCAGTCACAGTCAGTCAGTCAGTCACAGTCACTCAGTCAGTCAGTCAGTCAGTCAGTCAGTCAGTCAGTCAGTCAGTCAGTCAGTCAGAGTCAGTCAGTCACAGTCAGTCAGTCAGTCAGTCAGTCAGTCACAGTCAGTCACAGTCAGTCAGTCACGGTCAGTCAGTCACAGTCAGTCAGTCACAGTCAGTCAGTCAGTCACAGTCAGTCAGTCACGGTCAGTCAGTCAGTCAGTCAGTCAGTCAGTCAGAGTCAGTCAGTCACAGTCAGTCAGTCAGTCACAGTCAGTCAGTCAGTCAGTCAGTCAGTCACGGTCAGTCAGTCACAGTCAGTCAGTCACGGTCAGTCAGTCACAGTCAGTCAGTCAGTCAGTCACAGTCAGTCAGTCAGTCAGTCAGTCAGTCAGTCACAGTCAGTCAGTCAGTCAGGTTTTATGCCACTTTTAGCAATATTCCAGCAATATCATGGCGGGGGACACCGGTTGGTGATACTAGTTGGTTCCCCAATTGTTCTTATATGTTACCCTTGTGTTCATATGTGCACAGCAGGAGTGCCTAGTGAGTTGTTCCCCATAGATGTAGCAATGCAGATAAACGTGATGGCCGAATGATCGCATCCAAAAGCGGTAGAGATATGACAATTGGTATTGCGAGATAAGGTACAGATTATGGAAGTGAGGATTGTGAAAATATGCAGGAAATACCCATTTGTGCATAAAATGGACCTGTCCAACATTGCCGAGGTCGGATTCTATTCAGGAAGTCATTATTAAAATACGGGTAAATATTTTTAAAGTTTGTATATTTCATCATCATCCTTAAAGAGGCTGTACAAAATGTTGATATCTCATATAAGAAAAAAGGACTAATGGTTGTTGTTTATCGTACAATAAAACACGGAAGGGAAAATAAACCACTGCAGGGCTGCACCCCTCAAGGAGTTTTCTCCCTGCAGTGTTTTATTGTACGATAAAAACCTCCACTCGTAGTTAATTTCTTAAGAATAATATGGTAGCCTCTTCTTCATAATCACCACTCTATACACACACAATGCCATAATGGATCCAACAGTAAATGTGACGCCATAAGCAGCTTACAAGAGAAGTGACATTTTAAATGTTCCAAAAAAGAAATCAACATAACAGCTGCATTATTCAAAACATGTCCGCTCATTTACCAGTCTTAACATCATGAACTAACACAAACTTATACAGGAAATCCAATCAGGTGAAAGCAGATTTTGTTTTCATGGTATTGCAAACAATTTTTTGTTTTTTGGATTTTTTTTAACAATCCTAATGAAGACAACTAAGAAATCAATAATGCTACATGTGCTCCGGGTGGTTCTTCAAGCAGTCCATGAACCCCGCCACCTTCGTCTCCCCTTTACATATCCTGTGGATGGCTGTGAATAAGGGGAACCTGGAACAACAACACTGGATCTTACTGGAGGTGAAAAGATACATCGGTGTGCTGGTGCATCAGGAGTTTCATGTGACGCTACGATACACAATAGATTTTCTCTGTATCCTTACAAGACAATACACTTGCTGAAATATCTTACTATTCGTTTAATGACCCCTGGCATTTTTGTCAGGCAGATATAGCAAAATGTGTTGTAATTAGCGTTTCAAATTCACTACTAAAAATAGCCACTACGAATATGTGTTTACAGCTAGCTTTTCCTTTTGAACCTGCTCTGAAATATTTCTTGCCAAGAAGTTTCCATGCAATTTTATGTAAATATGCGTATCGTGATACGTATCTGATCATGACCTATGTATTGTGATACGTATTGTATCATGACCTTGCTGTAATGTTACATCCCTAGATCTTACACAGCATGGTAATATACAACATTAGGCAAACAACAATTTCATAGTTGATACAGGGAATAGTACACTGTATGCCCACTTGGACAGATAAACATCAATTGTCATCAAACAAAATGAACTCTGTTTTCATAGATGAGACAGAGAATGCTGCATGACGAAGGCAATAGCTAAGCTGGACATAAGGCTAAAAAAACATAATAGTCTTGGTTCTCAGGCAGTGCCTGCATCATCATAAAGTCCGCCACACATTTCATTATTTCCATTTTAAAAAAAAATACATATTAAAATATTCAGCATCTCGAACACACAAGCCCGGCGGTGAAATGCTACAATACTTATGAACAACATCATTTCGCAGAAATTATTGTAAACAAAATTTGGTTACATACGAGCTTGAACAACAACAAAAAACAAAACAATACCGCCCACTCGGACTATATTTTCAAAAGCCATTGCCTGAGGACCAATTCCTGTATGTGTTTAAGCCTAATCCTGCTGACAAGAAGACTGGCGTACCTGCTCTCCATGTCCTTGTTCTTCAGCATGTAGTTCACCTCGAAGGCCGTGGGGGGACCCTGCAGTTTCTGGCCATTCAGCATTTCCTTCTCCAACTCCTCAATTGTCTAAACAGTCAAGCATACACAGTCAAGCATACACAGTCAAGCATACACAGTCAAGCATACACAGTCAAGCATACACAGTCAAGCATACACAGTAAATCAGGAAATCAATCAGTCGCAAAATAAATGGTAAGGCTTTTGATTTTAAAAGCAATAAAAGAAATGTTCGACAACTCAGATTGTGTCAAGTTTGTCAAAGGAATTTTGCATGTTGTTTACAGACTGGCTTTTTGAAAAATATTATCCCGTCACTTGTTCACACGATCAATATCACCGTCTTGAATACATCTAAATATTTTTTCAAACATATTTTTGGTCCACATTCATTTCAAGGAGATCTATTGGTATGTGGTAGTAAATACACGGCCAGTATAGGACTGGTTATTTTCATTTCACCCATTCATCATGAAAGTAGTCTATCACAGACGGTGGAACGGGTGATCAAATATATCTATGTTTTGAGTTAGTGAGTTGGGTTTACTCCCACTTTGAACAGTATTCCAGTTATATCACTGTGATGCAGGTCTCAGACGAAAACACACAAGAAGTGGTTTTGTTTGTTAGTTTACTTGTTGTTTAACACCACACTCAGCAATATTCCAGCTATATGACGCCAGTCTGTAAATAATTGAGTCTGGACAAGACAATCCAGTGATTGACATCATGAGCATTGGGATACCACGACATGCATCTACCAAGTCAGTGAGCCTGGTTTGCTGATGACCTATTCTACCCCGGATCTCAATCGGTCACAAGAACTGGTATTGTGCTGACAAACGTAGAAACGGCGTCTCAGACGACTAGGCCCCCTGTGTCCCCTCCATGTGTTCATAGCATGTGTCGTGCTAATAGTTCTATTCCATGACAAACAAATGTGACTTTGATCTTGAGGTGAACATTGATCCATCTCGTTTCCCTACATTACACGTCACGTGTTGTACGACCTTCACCCCTTGACCTGCTCACCTTGCCTGTCTTGGCATAGGCTTCTGCTACCCTTCTGTTGCGGCCTCCGTAGCAGGTGGTGACCAGGTCAGCCACTCCACAGCTCTCCAAGAAGGTGCTCTGAGACGAACCTACACAATCACAACACTTCAGTTCAACATGGGGTATTATTGGTGTTCAGCAACATTACAGGTGTGTCATGGGGGCCTTTAATAACTTTTATGTAATCAAGACTGGAATCCAGGATGGGATCCATACACAGTTTCTGAAATTGGTCAAAGGTTTTTATTCCAGGATATCAATCACATTATGTCTAACCATATCCCGATTCTTTGACTACTGAGTGAGTTGGACTTTCTTTAGTTGTTCTAAATGCCGCACTCAGCAATATCCCACCTAAATGACGTTGGTCTGTAATAATCGAGTCTGGACCAGACAATCTAGTCATTGACATCATGAGCATAGATCCATGCAACTGGGATATGACAACATGCATCAACCAAGCCAGCGAGCCTGACCACCCAATCCCATTAGTAGCCTCTAACAGCAAGCATAGTCACCTTTTACCACAAGCATGGGTTGCTGAAGACCTGTTCTAGGCCAGAAGTTCACAGGTCGAGTTGGACTAAACACTACTTTGAACTGCCAGTGTCACCCGTGTTCTCACCTGGGTAGAAGACCTCACAGAACTTGACCATCTCCATGAGTCCAAGTCTGATGACAGCTGCCTTGGTGTTGTCCCCGTAGCCCAGTCCATCAGCGAAGCCAGCACCCACTGCCACGATGTTCTGTCACACAAACACTGCACGTGTCATCACCTGTTTTACACTGTCCCTTTCCATCATGGAATCATAACCAAAGACTACCCTAATTTACTTTGTATATGTTAAATGCTTCATAAATCAAACTGTTCTTTGACTCCAGTACCTGACTATCACATAGCATGAACATCTTCAAGGAACAAAACCAATGTGCAATAAAAGAAACAAAACAAAACAACTGTGAAGAAGTGGATTTCAATCCCCAACACATGGGCAATAATGTCTACATGTGACCTGAAACAGGTCAAAAGGTCCCATCCTGCACCTCCCAAAAGACCTCTGCCCCTCCCACAAGACCTCTGCACCCTCACCATACCTTCAGTGCCCCACAGACCTCCACGGTCTCCTCATCCTCAACCACCACGATGCGGAAGTAGTCAGTCTGGAAGACTTCCTTGAGGACAGCTCCCAATGCCTTGTCCTTACATCCTGAAAGTGTAAGTAGCCCCATGAGTATGTATCAACTACACTTGTACACAACGCTTTGTGGGTTGTCATTTGTCCAGCAATATTAGCAGCAATAGAAATTGGCACCGATCCTGTAGTCCTTGCCAAACTGCCCAATAGTTAAGCTATCATTTGCCATTTTGAAGGGTTTTGCAATATGTTATCATTATAAGGACTAGTGTACTAAAAATGATAGTGTCTACCACTGATTGGACAGCAAAACTTGGGCCGAGTGAACTTGGAATGTGGAATGTATCTGTTTCAGTTTTCCTGACCATGTTTTTTGTAAGCTGGGTTTATAAGGACATATCATATAACTGATCTCCATATTTCATTGAAGATTTTCCTTTAATAACAGCCAAAGTTCTTGAGATCATGCCAATTCACCATCTTAGACGTATAAATGGTAAAAATATTTTCATATCCGCAGCAATCAGAAAAGACTGTCACTTCTATGGTGTCATGATGACGTGTGTGTAACTGACCAATAGTGGCTTCACAATAGTCCTCCTTGGCCACTTCATTGGCAATGTTGGCTCCCATCAAGATGGTGCAGGGGATCTTCAGCATTTCTCGGATTACATCGGAGATGAGCAGGATACCACCTCCCTCGGCCACATCAAAACCCTGTAGTAACACACACAAGTCCATGAAGACAAACATGCATTCAAGAGATGTACACAGCACATGAGGAAGCCACCTTTGGGGCCCCACATTCAAACAATATAGAACAAAACATCAAGGGCCCAAGAACCCACTCAATTTTAAAAACTGTTAGGTAAAAGTTGATTGCCTGGTGCCAGAACTTCCAGGCGCCACTCATGTGTTGTTCCTGGAGTCCACACTGACAACCGAACAGGATTAATGTCTCAGTCACAAAAGAAAACCCTCTTCTATTATTGACAATGTTGACTATTGCAATCTTCACTATTCTTTACGTATACAGAGTAGGGATGGCTATCGATATAGATCATATAGATCTATAATCATAAACGTTATATTGAGCAATTATCGATCAATATCAGAAAGGTAACTTTCAACCAATATTTAAAAAAGTCTGAAAGAAATCAAAATATTTCATGCCACTGGTAAGTGGTGACACACTTGTGCATTGATTACTTTGTGGACATTTGAGATATTACAAAACCAGTTGCTTTCCGTCTTCGGCAATAAATATAATTGACAATAACACGTCTGTTACCGTACAGTTAAACTATATTTCAACACATAAGTCTATGTAAGTCATTATCAATGACACAATTTTTATATTGATAACATTAATATTTCTTCCCTTCAACGATTATTCTGATTAGTGCTCATACTCTGTGCTAATGATTGCAGGATATATCAGGCACAACAATAAGAGGCCTGATTCGTCTTGATTAAGGTGTCCTCAAACTCCATAGACAGTTTCTTGTATGTTATTACCAAACTAGTCTCTAAGACCAACATATATGTTACAGAACCTGTGGCTGTAGGTTCTGATGTATATACATGTATATTTGTTCACCTTGATGAGTGTGACCGCAACAGCACCCTCCTTCATGGTCCCCTGCAGCTGTTTACACACCCCACGCACAAACTGGTGGGGCAACACAAAGATGAGGATGTCAGCATCTGCAGCGGCATCCTTGACGTCGGGGATGGCCACCTACATCAACATGATGACACCGGGTCAGTGGATATCTCACCATAGTCACCGTTAAAAATATTATCCCATTTATGTCTTCAAGATATAAAAGAGAACAGAGCTCCAGATAAGCTGCGTATCTGCGTAAAATATGCATCAGAAATGCAGAAATATGCAGTAAAATAAAATCCAAGTGTATCGAATACGCAACGAATAATTAGAGATAAGCTACAAAAATAAAACTTGTGCGTATCATCAAAATATTGTGCAATAACCCTGCATATTTGATTAGCAAATCAGCAACTTATTTTGAAATTATAAACGGGCATTCCATCAAACTTGCCAAACTCCACGAAGACAGTTACATCACAATCATTTGCCATCACACTTTCTTGTGGAAGTATCGTGGTATTTTTGAGTCCTATAAAGCTCTCGAACCCACACAACACCATTTTGCAGGGACTAGATGAATAGGGTTTTTAGATATTTAACTTAAATACCCACATGTGTAAAAACTAGTGGGTAACAGAAATGTGAATACCCAGATAGAATTACTGATACCCAATGATTTTAAAATGCATGGGTAAAATACCCACAATGCCAAAAGCTTATCTGGAGGTCTGAGAGAATATGGATTTATACAGAATATTGTATCCAAACCTACAGCAATGCAGGGATAGAAATTAACAGTTTTAGTCCACTAGTCCTTATAATGATAACATTCAGCAAAACCCTTAAAAAGAGCAAATTTCTACTAGTCCTTTTGATTATTACCTTAGCTATTGAGCAGTTTGGCAAGGACTACAGGACTAGTGCCAGTTTGGTTCATGCAATGTAAGATGTAAAACTGTCAGTACTTGTAGAACAATATTGACAAAATAAATGCAACCTAGGAATGTATTGGAATCAGTCCCAGTTAAATTATCTTTATTGTTGTTATACCTAGCATATGCCCATCACTCATTCATAGATCAACATGTCCATTAATGTCTTGATGGGGCAGGATCCAACATCGGTAACACTAAAATAATGAAACATCCCAATATGTGGGACTCTCCATCAACATGTCTGTTGAAATTATCCAGATTAGGCTTTCATAGTGTTTGCAGTGACAAGTACAATGATACTCACACTCACAAAACATGTGATCTCACTAGCAATATGAGCAGGACACTGAAACACATCCCGAGGACCACACACTGGCATCTGACATCCACACAGAATTGGACAAATGCAAACACTAAGTTGGAGGTGAAAAAACAATTAGATTTAAATACAGCCATTAAACATGCCAGGCTTGGATGTACTGCTCCACTGCAACATGACAGGGCTGTCCTTCCAATCAAGGGACACTGAGGACACAAAAACACGGGGGCGGTGGGGTAGCCTAGTGGATAAAACCTCATGCACTCACTCTTTTGGATTATTCAATCATTACATAAATATATCCATAATGCAGAAAGAAAAAGACCCACTGTTATGTTGATATTTGTCTATCCTACACTAAGCCAAGAAGCTCCATGCTACATTTGAAGACAGCTCATTGATAAATCAGTGTTAGAAATTGGCACTAGTCCCATAGTCCTTGCCAAACTGCCCAACAGTTAAGGTATCATAAGGACTAGTAGAAATTTGACCTTTTTGGGCTTTGCTATATGTTATCATTTTCAGGACTAGTGGACGAAAACTGTTAGCTTCTTTCGCTGGATAAATGCAAATGATACTTGCATCTTAATTGTTTAGAATTTCCTGTGGAGGATAATCAAGTTGAACCAGATCAATTGTTTTAATGTCAAGAAACAAATGTAACATATGATGGCATGTAAAGTAATTTGAGTCTTTGCCAAAAACTTTTAAGTGTACAAACCCGAACTTGGCCATAAGCTTCATTTACAAGGCCAAACAGAATTTTACAGTCACTGTAATTCACTTGTACTAGTGGTTGATACATCAATGCCGGATCAGTCTAACCAACAGGTAGGCGAGGTGTAGAAGGATACATACCACATTCTCTGGTAGCTTGATCCCGGGTAGGTACTTGACATTCTCATGATCGTTGTTGATCAGCTCGGTCAACTTGCGGCCATTCACCATCTCCTCAAACACCCACATGCGCACCTCCTTGTGGAACATATTCGTCTTCTCCAATGTGTTGTTGCCAACTATCTTGGCAATGGCCGAACCCCTGAAACAGAAGCATTTCAGTTTAGTCACACAGGCTGTTTGAATGGGTTTGATGTGTTACTGTGGACAAACTCAATACCCTGACCCGATTTCCGTAAAAAGTTGCTTCTAATGACGTACTGTGGACTCAGTGCCCCGACCAGATTCTCACAACAGTTGCTTCTAATGAGGTACCGTTGACTAACTCAGTGCCCCCATCAGATTCTCACAACAGTTGCTTCTAATGAGGTACCACAGACTAACTCAGTGCCCCCACCAGATTCTCACAACAGTTGCTTCTAATGAGGTACCACGGACTAACGCAGTGCCCCGACCAGATTCTCACAACAGTTGCTTCTAATGAGGTACCGTGGACTAACTCGATGTCCCCATCAGATTCTCACAACAGTTGCTTCGAATGAGGTAACTAACGGTGGACTAACTCGATGTCCCCACCAGATTCTCACAACAGTTGCTTCGAATGAGGTAACTAACGGTGGACTAACTCGATGTCCCCACCAGATTCTCACAACAGTTCGTGTTTCACAATTACAACAGCAGCCTGTACATAATTGAGTCTGGACCTGCTTGGTTAGAAGATGATCATATCACAAATAGAGATTGTTATACAAGCATGTGTGTCATACTGAGTGTCTGAATTTGTGTATATCCTGAGTGAGATCAAGGGTAATACATGAATTCTTTCACAAGTTTTGTAAAATCAGTATGACACACATGCAAGTGTCATATACTACTCGATATTTGCAAAGGATCACTACTTTATATGGTAACACGTCAAATTGTGTGCATTTGTTGAAATAGCAAAAGACAATATTGCGTGAAGACATGTTTAATGAACAAAAGTCCGTTGTCATAGCACACATTGCCAACAGACAGCATGTGAGTGAGTGAGTATGGTTTTATGCCGCTTTTAGCAATATTCCAGCAATATCATGGCGGAGAACACCAGAAATGGGCTTCACACATTGTACCCATGTCTGGAATCGAACCGGGGTCTTTCGGCGGGACGGGCGAACGCTTTAACCACTAGGCTACCCGACCGCCCCTCCAACAACATGACTTTGATCCATGTGATGCAATCACAGCCTGGCGCCGTCATCTCTTGCACCCAATGTGTCAGGATGGTGGCCAAGGGAGGATTGTTCCACTCTCCAGTAAGGGCATTGCCAAGTTCGTATAGAGTTGCTAGATGAGCAGGTCATCGATTGGGATCGATCTGCAGCTCATTCCACATGTGTTCAATAGGGCTGATCCAAACATCTGGTATCGATTCCATGCCCTACTGATCACATTTTACCTGACACCAAAGACATTTGCAACGTTTGCAAGCTAAACAGGCTAGTTTGATATTTGTCAGAAGCAAGTGAGCTGCTTATAACATATCAATATATTGAAATCACAAATCAAATAAACATATACTAGAATTGCATAACTATCACACTGGTTTCAGCATGTTCAAGTAATTTACTATGGCCATACGTGAACACATAAAGCACCAGTAGCATGGTGCCACATGTTTACCAAGACCATATCAAACAGATGTCACATGCCTCACATGAGAAAATGTTGTATTAGCAGAACTCAACAAGTCCCAGCACAACTAGTTCAATTCGTGTTTCACAATTACAACAATTTCACACATTATCCCTGCCTAGCAATCTATACAAAACAATCTGATTTACCCAGTATCATGTGAACATCAACTGTTCTATATTCATGCTTATTCAAGATAAAATAGTTTTGATCAGGAAAACATGCTTTTTCAAGGTACTGATTCATATAACATGCATGGTGCACAAGATGATTTCTTGTGGATACACATGGTACTGACAAAACAAGGTACAGTGAGAAACATGGCACTGAGAGAAACGAGGTACTGAGAAAAACAAGGTACCAAGAAAAACATGGTTCTAAGAGAAACGAGGTACTGAGAGAAACGAGGTACTGAGAAAAAATGGTTCTAAGAGAAACAAGGTACTGGGAGAAACATGGTACTGAGAAAAACAAGGTACCAAGAAAAATATGGTTCTAAGAGAAACAAGGTACTGAGAAAAACAAGGTACCGAGAATAATATGGTTCTAAGAGAAACAAGGAACTGAGAAAAACAAGGTACTGAGAAAAACATGGTACTGAGAGAAACAAGGTACTGAGAGAAACAAGGTACCAAGAAAAATATGGTACTGAGAAAAACAAGGTACTGAGAAAAACATGGTACTGAGAAAAATATGGTACTGAGAGAAACAAGGTACTGAGAAAAAAATGGTACTGAGAAAAATATGGTACTGAGAAAAACAAGGTACTGAGAGAAACAAGGTATTGAGAAAAACAAGGTACTCAGAAAAACATGGTACTCAGAAAAACATGGTACTAAGAGAAACGAGGTACTCAGAGAAACAAGGTACTCAGAGAAACATGGTACTCAGAGAAATGAGGTACTGAGAAAAACATGGTACTCAGAGAAACATGGCACTGACGAAACAAGGTACAGAGAGAATCATGGCACTGACGAAACAAGGTAGAGGGAGAAACATGGTACTGAGAAAAACATGGTTCTAAGAGAAATGAGGTACTGAGAGAAACGAGGTACTGAGAGAAACGAGGTACTGAGAGAAACAAGGTACCAAGAAAAATATGGTACTGAGAAAAACAAGGTACTGAGAAAAACATGGTACTGAGAAAAATATGGTACTGAGAAAAACAAGATTCTGAGAAAAGCATGGCCCTGACGAAACAATGTACTGAGAAAAGCATGGCCCTGACGAAACAATGTACTGAGAAAAACATGGTACTGAGAGAAACGAGGTACTGAGAGAAACAAGATTCTGAGAAAAGCATGGCCCTGACGAAACAATGTACTGAGAAAAACATGGTACTGAGAGAAACGAAGTACTGAGAGAAACGAGGTACTGAGAAAATCATGGTACTGAGAGAAACAAGGAACTGAGAAAAACATGGTACTAAGAGAAACAAGGTACTTAGAGAAATAAGGTACTGAGAGAAACAAGGTACTGAGAAAAACATGGCACTGACGAAACAAGGTACAGAGAAAAACATGGTACTGAGAGAAACGAGGTACTGAGAAAAACATGGTACTGAGAAAAATATGGTACGGAGAGAAACGAGGTACTGAGAAAATCATGGTACTGAGAGAAACAAGGTATTGAGAAAAACAAGGTACTCAGAAAGACATGGTACTAAGAGAAACGAGGTACTCAGAGAAACAAGGTACTCAGAGAAACATGGTACTCAGAGAAACATGGTACTGAGAAAAACATGGTACTGAGAAAAACATGGTACTCAGAGAAACGAGGTCCTGAGAGAAACAAGATGCTGAGTGAAACAAGATACTGAGTGAAACAAGATACTGATGAAACAAGATATTGATGAAACATGGTACTGAGAAAAACATGGTACTGATGAAAGAAGGGCTTAAAATTTTCTATAACTTCTCACCCCTAAAATGTCTTTTAGTGCAATCTAAGATTAAATCCTTACTTCCATTTGCCTCATTTTGTGGTGATTTAGGAGCAAATAAAGATGTTGTTGTACACAACATTACAAAATGGCTGCCAGCTTTGTCATTCGGGATATATCTTTCTTTGAGTTACCCACTCACATGAAACCCGTAATTACACTATTCAGTGTCAATTTAAAAATTAATTAAACACACACAGAGTAGGGTTGACATTTCCACTAGCCAGACAGGCCATCAACTAATTGTTTCATCAAGCCTTATATAATTTTAACTGGCCACAGGGCAATATTAATTTGACCCCTGCATGCTTTTTTTATTTCAATTGAATTGATAGGGAACTGGGGACACAGTTCGTGATGGTCCTAGAAACTTGATGCTGAGCCTACATGGTAATGCATCTACAGTGTGCCACATACACACGATGCGACAGAAACAATATGAGGCATTCTACCATGAACATGATAAATGTGGAATTTACTCCATTCTGATTGGTCAATCTGAGGCTATTAAATCACAATAACCCCCCTCTGATTGAAACAGCTGGTTTGACGGCCGCATCACTGTGGAAGCTAATACCGTATTCGACGTAATAAGCACCCACGGCGATATTTGCTGATATATTGGCTAGTGAACAAGCCCAATTTGCATCCCTTCCGATTGACCAATGTACACAAGACTTATTTATTCGGTATAATACGCACACGTGTGTTATATGCACGCTTATTTATTGGCAATTAAAATCTGGAAAAGTATATCTGTCGTACATAAACATTTCAGGCTGTCAGCATAAACAAAGAAACTTATCTTTCAACTATGTTTTTTTCCACCAAAATAATATTCTAATAGGAGCCCCCTATTTCTAATTTTTTAGGGCGCTCCGGGCGCTTATTACGTCGAATACGGTATTCATAGAATAGTACCATTTTCAGTCATTGTCGGTAGGCATATTTCAATAATTATATCTACAATTACAGGATACAAAATGCACAGATGCTGTTACTATAGTATTCAAAGGATGTGTGGCAATACGTTTCATGCAGAAAACACAACAGAAATCTACAAATGGAATGTATTTACGTTTTGGAGACAACAGAGAGCTTGGAATTTTGGTGCTTTTCTATATACGACTGTGACGTCACAGCTATCCATACAAAGGGGACTCAAAAGGAAATGCGCTCTGTTGTGACCTTGACCTTGACACTGCTCAACCATGTTTCACAACCTTAAAGTTGACCTTGACCTTTGACAAAAATCATGACCATTGATGAGATAGGATTTTTTTAAAGACATTTAACTGTCTTACAATAACCTTAAAGCAGTGCGCTATCATAGAGAAGATATATACCAAGCTTAATAATAAATGTTTAATAATTAATACTTTTCCGACAAAGCACAATCACAAGCGATTTTGTTAGATTGTTTTCGTGGTCTTCACCGTTGACCTATACATGACATGTGCCAAGAGACTTACCCAGGACCACATGGAAGGAGTCCATGGAAGAATAATGTCAATAATCTTTACGTA